AGCACACGACATTGAATTCCCTCTCAGATCTCATTTCTAACCTTCTTCAGAGTGCCTCAAGGGAAGCCCCTTCCCACTGCAGGCATCCTCCCACCAGCCCTAATTCTCTCATCTTCTTGGTGATATGCCTGCTACTTCCCCTCTCCCGATTATTTCAGGAAATTCCAAATTCTTCTCACTACAGCACAGCAAGACCTCCCATCTTGAGCTCAGTCTAGGCCCATGTTTTCATTTCTTTAATCCACAGTCAAGTAAGAGAGTGTCTGGAGATGAACATCATCCACTGTGCTTGGAGGGTAATTGTAGTCATCAATTTCATTTTTCAACATTACACACTTTTACAAGATTATGAAAAATGGAAAGTACTATTTCCTTGAATTATTCTCTCCCACCTCTCCCCCTTCCCACCCTCACCTGTGGAGACCCAAGGTGAAGAGTTAGGCACCAACTGTCTGAGATCCTTTGTATGAGGGTAGGGCTGGCCCGGCTTGTCCACCCCTTGCCCATGTCCTCTCCCCATCAATTTGATGGCTGAGGCTTCCCTGTGGGTCAGATGGTAAAGAATCCACCTGCAATGCAGGAGATCCAGGTTTGATCTGTGGGTCAGGAAGATCCCTTGAAGGAGGGCATGGCAAGCCACTCCAGTATTCTTGCCTGGAGAATCCCATGGACAGAAGAGCCTGGTGGGCCACAGTTCATGGGATCGCAAAGACTTGGACACGACTGAGTGACTAACACTCACTTTCAGCATGGTTACCGTCTCTCCTGATGGCACCACACCCCTGAGTGGAAGGTGGCTAAATTCAGGAGGAGCTGATGGACTGGGAAAGGAGGGCATTGCTTCTTCATACAGAGTGTTGTTCAGTGTTCGTCTTAGAACCAGTTGGAGGATATCATTTTCCTAGTTTCCAGCACCCAGTCCGTCATTGTGGCATCAGCTTCATTTCATATGACTGTGCCAGACAGACAGATCTTTGTTAACATTCAAGTTCACCGCTGGATAACAAAGGGCCAGTAACACTAGGGACTTACAAGGATCCTCTAAGGGAATGGGAGGGGGTGCATACGTGAGAAGCTTCCCACACACTCCAGGCCTTGAGTCCCTGTCTGTCCATCCACTTGGGGGACAAGCATCTGCCACGTCAGAATCCGCCTCTGGCCTTAGGTCTTCAGAGAAGTGAGAAATCCTGTCCCCATGGAGTCCAGTCAAGTAGACTGAAGACAGATAAATCACTATGCAATGTGCCAAGAGCTCCATCTAGGGACGCAGAGGAGGGCCTGGACGGCCCCCTGGCTGTTGGAACAAGGTGGTAGCGGTGTTCCGTGTGACAATACCGAGAAGCGTGTCCCAGGCTGCCTTCCTCTCAGCCAGACACTGGGTGCACAAGCGACAGCGTCTGGACCGGGGGCTGCGGCAGGCGGGCACGGGCTCCGGCACGGGGAGCTCTGGCTCCACGGCTGACGGGAGCGATGGGACCTGGGTTTCCCGCCGATCACTCGGCTGCAGGGCGGATGGAGTCCCGGGCCAAAGGGGCAGTGGGTGGGGACGCTGGGCTCGTGCCCAGACCTTGCTCTCCTCCACACCCAGGCCGGGCAGGGCCTGTGGCTGCCGCGCTCACCTGAGCCCAGGCGCTCACACCGTGAGAAAGCTTGCAGGGTGCCACAGGCTGAACGCGTGCGTCCCCCCAAACTCACATGTTGAAATCCTAATCCCCAACACACGAAGGCGATAGGGCTGTGAGGGTGGGCGCCCAGGATGGGATTAGCACCCTTATATTAATAAAAGAGACCCCAGAGAGCTCTCTCACCCTTCTGCCAGGTGAGACACAGTGAGAAGATGCGAACCAGGAGGCGGGTCCTCACCAGACACCACGTCTGCCCATTCCTTGATCTTGAACTTCCAAACCTCCAGAACTGTGAGAAAATAAATGTTTGCTGTGTCAGCCCCCGGAGTCTATGGTATTTTTGTCACAGCAGCCCAAGCTAAGACACAGTGAACACAGTCAGCATGTGAGGCAGCCCAGGCCAGGCAAGGCTCCTTGCAGACACCTGCTCTAGGGCTCTGCCATCACACACTGGTGTGAGGTGCGGGCGGGCGGGGTCAGGAAGGCCCAGGCTGAGTATGGGGCCAGTCTGTGCACCAACACAGACCAAGCTGCTTCCCCAGATGCTGCCACATCAGGGACTTGGCCTACACACCATTTAGGAATGGCTGTGCTTTCCTGCTGGGGTCACCTGTCTCTCTCTGACAGGTGTGACCTTCAATCCCTCAGGCTCTCAGTCCCTGCAGGGGAGCAACGGGGGCGGGAACAGGGCTCATCTCTGGGGCTGGTGGACACCTGGCTCACCACCTAGCTTCCCCCGCCACACCACCCTGTGTGCCCCTGAGCACTCCTGCCTTTATGGTGATGAGGGCAATGATGAAGTCCCCTTGAGGCAGGGAGATGGGATTCCCCACCCCCGCAAGTTCTGTTTCCCTAAGGAAAAAGGAAAATAACTCTCTGTCCAGACCACAGTTTGATTGAATTAAAAAAAGTGTATTGGATTTCCAATACTAAATAAAAACATGAAACTGTTTTTCAAAAAGCCATAGAGTTTACAGCATCAACTACAGAAAAGGCCAAACAAGTGTGTACAGAAACTAGTTCCCAGCAGCCCTCCAGGCCCCACTCCAGCAGGCGACAAGGCAACAGACACGTTTGTTCCAAATCTTCCTGAAGGAAGCTGCTGGCCAGCAGCTCAACTAGGACATGACAAGACACACAATGGTTTAATTCCAAAAATCACAGGAAAATGTAAGAAAATGTATTAAATTGTGAAAAGGTGCAATACAGAATAGCTTTCCTATTTCTTACTTTTAAAAAAATCCCCCGACTTTGAACAGTTATTTATTTAAAAATAGGTCCCTCCCCCCGCCCCAGCTCTGTGGCAGTATGCAGGTACCAAGGCCCTGAGGTAACAGAAGTATCAGGGTTCATGGGAGGGAACGCCCCGAATACCGAGCATGTCTCTTTGGGCAAAAGGTAAGACAGTTTCTGGGGAATCTAGCGCTCCTGGTGTCCAGAGTGCTTTTTTCAGGATCAGCTGAAGTACACTGGGTTTCCAGAATCCTGCCTGGCACTATCCTCCATGACCGGCTAGCAGGGCAGCAGAAGGTCCAGCACGGCTCTTTTCATTGCCCCCAATTAAGAAACAGAGAGTTTATCTCCTAGAAGAGCCCATGTGCCATGAGACCTACACGGGGGAAATGACCAACGTAGAAAGGCAAGTGGGCTCCTGCCTGCCGCAGGCTGAGCGCCCCCTGGTGGTCTCAGCCACTGAGACGATAGCTCTCGGCTACCAAACCACAGCTCCATCTGCCTGACCCACTCTTCTAGGATTTGCTGGGGAGTCAGGGAAGATGCCTGAGGGTCAGTCCTGTATTATTTCTTCATATATTCTTAATATATAAAAAAACTCAGCTTCTTTCCTTTTAAAGAAGAAGCACACGAGAACCATCTGTAAAAGCCAGAGGCTTCTTGCATGGCTGGCCTCTCAGGGCCCCTCAGAGACCTCCTGCTGCCCTGTTTGAATCAGGGGCTTAGCTGAGCTGCTGGGCGGGGGGCGGGGGGGGGGCACTCTCCTGGTCCCCTGCTGCTTATGGGACAGTTTTCAGAAAGAACTGGGAGCCTCACTGGTGCTGCAGCCCCTGCCTGCTTCATTTTTACTAACACCTTCTCCACAGGGGCTCCGAGACGTAGAAACGAGGGGTGGACTGCTGGACTGACCAAGGACAGGAACTAGGGAGAAGCAAGGAGTCTTGTGTGGGAACAAAGCTCCCACCTTAACATCCGACTTCTTCAAGGTCAGAGGGTTAACAGCAGGACAGGGGTCCATCCTCTTCTCTGATTTCCCAGGAACGTGCCAGGCTTGTGCCCTGAACTGCATCACTCCTGTAATATGATGTCTGACTCCTCAGCATGGATGTTATTATCAGGATATTACCAAGACACCAGGGCAGCTACATCCTTGAACCCACCTATTGCACAGAAGAACTTTTTTTTTTTACTAGATCCAAATGAAACTCCAGTTGCAACTTAGTGACAATAGAGATGGACATGCCAGGACAATAAAGATGCTTCCCTTCTCTGCAGGCTTCTGGAAGAAAGTACAATGACTGAAACATTCACAGGATCTCAGCAGCCCCTCCATTTCCAATTCCCAACCCTCCCAGCCCGCCCCCACCCCAATACTGAAACTGCACAGAAACCAACAAACAAGTCTTTTCAATGTTACATTTCATTCAGATAGATCTGTAATCTCACAGTGATGAGAGGAGAAAGTCAGGCCTTTAATAATTATAAAAAAATAATAAAAAAGCTTACAAACAGCAATGCAATATTTCCTCCCCCCTTCAAAGTGATGGATTAACAGCTGGTAGAGGATGCAATGACTCAGAATCAAAAATAAAAACAAAAACAAAAACAAACCAACCCCTGGAACAACCCACACTGTCAATGACTTTCCATACATAATTCAAACAAGCAGTCAAATGTCAACCACTTGTGGAGAACACCACGGACTTCCTTGGTTTTGATAGTGTTTTTCTTTTGAAGGTAAAATAAAATAGAACACAAATAAAATTGTACAGAAATGCCAATGTCTACACTCCATAAAGGCGATGCCATCGCAGCATGAAGACACGGCCTGCCCACCAAGTGAAACATAGGTTGCACTGCTTGCCTCTTCCCTGGACACAACATTTTGGCCCATGGTGCCCAGTCCTGCAGGGTATCGGCAGGCAAAGGGAAGCTGCCTCAACACGGGCGTCTTCCAGGCTGACTGGGAGAAGGCAGGTGGCCAGGCCTGGAGCCGGCCCCACGCGGGGGCGCTGGCCGGGCGGCCTGCTCACTCTGTGTTCTCAAGTGCTGTCCTCTGGTGCTCTGTACAACTCCTTGATTTCAAGGCTAAGTCCCAAGACTTCTAGACTTGGGCCGGGAGTCACGTCCCGGTCAAGGTGGTCACGCTGTCGTGATGGCATTTAGGTCCTTCATCAGTCCTTCCAGGTGGGCCATCTCTTTGGTCAGCTCATCTGGCTCATAGCTCTACGGAAAAGAGAACAGTGTTACCAGGCACGCTCCAAACAGCCGTCCAGAAGTAGGGCCCATGGAAAGAGGTCACCATGTTGAGGGATGAGTGAGAAAAATGCTGGACAGACTGGACTACCCACGTCCCTGCCAGCCCGGCAGAGTCAGAGGCTTCAGGATGGGCCCAAGCCAGCAACCACTCATTTCTTTCCATCACAAAATGCCTTTCCTCCAACTTGTGCTGCCAGGGTCACAAGGACCTCACAGGCCCCACCGCTTGCCCCCTCTAGTCTCTGTTGGAGCCAACACCGCTGGTATAACCCCTGGATCTCTGGGCCCCAAGCTCTCCTCCTAAGAGAGTCCTGTGCCAGGAAAGGCAGAGGTCAAGCATATCTACTGGAATTCGGGAGTGAAAGATCAAGGAGAGACTCTGCTGACTTTATTTTGAGAGCAATCGCTCAGGCAACTTCCTCTACAGCATCCTGCTCAGGAAAGATCATGAACAGGGGCTGGGGGTGAAAGAACATGTGGACGGTTCAGACCAAGACAAGAGGGTCAGAGAGACAGGCCAGAGCTGAAAGGAAGGCCGGTGTGACAAGCCAATCCACGTGGATGGAGCCTGCAGCAGAGCCCAGGCTCGGGGAGCACCGAGCGCCCGCCGGCGGAATGAGCGAGCTGGCCCGAGCCCCGGGCCAGCCCGGGGACTCACGCTCTCGGAGTCTTCCAGCATCCTTGTGGTCTCCTGAACTTCAGGGGCACTGGGAACCACCACTGGCATAGGAGGCCGGCTCCTTCCTAAAGTCCCGATGGAGGCCGTCTTCACCGCGTGAATGTGATGATTCAGAGCTGCGGGGGAAAGGCGGCACCATCAGGGGTGTGTCTGAGCCTGCTGCCCTGATCCTCACAAAGGTACGTGAGGTCCAGACGCTGCTCAGGGTGAGGGGTGCACACACACCCAGCACAGAGCTGCTGCTCTGAAAAGGGACGGAACAGGATGGAAGGAGGGAGAGCGCAGGGCATCCAAGAGGCCAGAGCAGACGGTCCGCTCAGCTTTAAAAACTCATCTCTTAGACCAGTGGTTCTCACAGTGGAGGGGTTCCAGGGCCCCTCACAGAATGTCTGGGAGTCAAAACTCTTCACAATAAAACCAAGACACATTTGCCCTTCCACTGATGGTACAAAAGCAATAGTGGGAAAAAAACGCTGGGGCCTCAGCACAAATTAGGTATTGGCACCACGCTGTAAAGTCATTCATGAACATGCACACTTGCCAAGTTTAAAAAAGAGCCAGTGTAATTAATGTAGAAAAAGTTATGTTATGAAGTTGATTACACATCTTTTAAATATTCTAAAATGGAAATACGGGTAAAATACTACTGCACACCAAAGCATGATGGCTGTCTTCAATAAAAACACTTGTAATTGAGTTGTGAGTTGAACTGTTGCTTTCATTACAAAACAACAATGTTATTAATAGTTCAAAGAAAGACTGACACACAGGTTATTTAGACTTGAGCATTTGGCAGACATTTTCTAGACAGTGAATGAAGTCTGTCAGTTACTTTAGGGAAGACAATGGACAGCATTTATTTCCAATGATAAAATTTAAGTTTAAAATGAAAAATCAGAATTTTGAAAAACTTGTATCTGCAACCATGAGCTTGAGGGCTTCCCAATACTTACAGACTTTGATGATATTAATGAATGTATTTTTATATACTATTTAACAAAATGTATCAAGATTTGGAGGATCTATGTAACTTAGTGAACCAATACTTTCCAAATGACCAACATGTGGTGTTTAGTATCATGCATTCAAAGTGCAGTATAGATGGATTTAACAGGACAGAGTATGAATAATTATATGCTTTTGAATTCCACATGACAAACAAATCTCTAAGAAATCAAAGTCTGCTGAGTTTTGCTGCAGTGTCAAAGAAGAATACCCACAGCAGTCTGAAAAGTTTATATAAATAATCTTTCCTTTCCAACTACGTATCTGTGAGGCCAGATTTTCTTTGACAAAAACAATACACTGCAACAGATTAAATGCAGAAGCAGGTATGAGAATCTGGTTGTCTTCTATTAAGCCAGAAATTAAAGAAGAGCTGCAAAAGTCTAAGACTGCTACTCTTCTCACTATGTTTTTATTTTGAAAGTTATTTCTCATGAAAATATGTTATTTCCCTTAACATGACAGATTTATTGCTATTTTTATATGAATAAAATAGTTTTAAAATCTGTTTTGATTTCTAATATAGTGAATAATGACAGGTATAACTCATGTGAAGAAAAAGCTCTTTTGCAGCTTCAACAGCTTTTAAGAGTTAAAAAGGGTCCTGAGACCAAAAGCTTAACAACCAGTGACTTATTCTGAAAGAAACCATCATAAGAGAGAAATTTATGTGAAACAGTAGGAGGCAAAAAAGCATGCCTTTGAGGTGAGAGGACCTTTGTTGAGCTGTGTGAACTCGAAGAGTCAACAACCCTTCTGCAGGGTTATTTCTGCAACCTTGGTTTTTCCCTTGCTTCCAAGTTTTGGACTCCCTAATCCTTCTCCAGTTGGCAGGAATCCTATGGAGTAAGGCAGTTCTGGGAGGCCCAGATCTGTTGTTCATACTCACGCCACTGGATTCTACCACCAAGCGTCCTGCACACAAAACATACTTCAGAAAGTCAGCCTTTGCTCCCTGCCAAATTATTCTCTTGTTTATGTATGTTCCCGAAGGAGGAGCCCATATCCTCCCTGAGAGGATAAGGGTCAGCTTGGAGGACATTAGCTTTGTTATTCTGCAAAGAAGTGGCGACTGCTGTCTTGAGCCAGAGCCACAGGGCCCCTCCAGCGGTGCTGCTTTCCTTGCTCACCTTGCTGGGAGAGTAACGGTGTGCTTGGCAACGCTGGATCGTAGGTGGGAGGCCCGGGGGGTGGGATCGCGGGCACAGCAAAGCTCTTCAGTGGGTGGGAAGGGCGAACATGGGCTGTAGGGAGACTCTGGCCTGAATCTTCCTCTTGGGAGCTGGCCAAGTAAGAGGAGCTGGTAGCACCTTCAGGATCCTGGTGATCAGTACAGCATGTTTGAGACGAGGAGGCTGGCATGGTGTCAGTGCTTGGGGTGTTTCGAACAGATTCTACAGCAGGAAAGTCTAAATGTTAGCATTTATTTTACCACTGAACATATGCGCATTCTGGGGTTCTCGCTGCCTACCTCTAAGGGCCCCTGAAACTGGCTCAATGAGCACTTCGGGTCAATGCTAGTTCAAGGGAACACAGACTGGCATCGCTGCCAAGGCTAAATAAGAATGGTCTAATTTCAGAGTCCCCCCAGAATTTGTCAACCAGATGCTGGACTTTTTTCACCTACACAACTAAGTGGTCACAATTTTACAGATTTAAAGCTCTTCTCAGTACTCACTATGGAGCACACATAAAGGTTCCTGATATGGTGTCTGTTAAGATGTAAGCAAGAAAATTTACAATTTTATTCACTGACTGACAGCTTCCGAGACTAGCCTTTCACAGACAACACATCACCAAGGCCACCTGGGTACTTGACGAGGAGCAGCTCTGCCCTGAGGCCTAGTGGTCCCTGCAGGAGAGGCCGTGCCACAGGCCCGCACCCCCTCTGGCAACTGCACAGCCTCCCCAGAGCCAGAGCCCCACAGCTCAAGTGAGGCCTGGACAGCCGAAAAGTCCAAAGGTCTGCCAGTGGCTTTAAGATAATGCCATGAGGTGTTTGGGCATCCAGAGAGAAAAAGAGGGGTATATCAGCCTGAAGAAGGGGCAGCTCAGGAAAAACATGACAAAAATCTCAAAATAAGTGACGAGGCATCAGAGTTGTTCTGGAAGGCAGCATGGTGGGGTAGAAAAAGCACTGGCTCTGGAGTCAGATAGACCTGAATCCTATTCTCTTCCTATGAGCTGAGTGAACCTGGCAGTAACCAAATCTGTTTCTTCACTTATAAAAATAGGGAGAATAATGCTAACCCTAACACATAATTTACCGAGGATTAATTAGGAAGATGAATAAAAAGTGCTGAACACAGGGCTTGAATGATTGATAAAGGTTTTTTTCTTTGTAGATTATCAGGTGCTTAAGTGCTTTATACTCATTAGCTCATTCAATCCTCACAGTAACACATCAGATGCTGGGAGCTTAAGAATGGCCCAAGGACACAGAACTGATGGGCAGAATTCTGAATCCTGGGCCCTGAGTCCTAAACTCAGGCTCCATCCACTGAACACTACCTGCTCTTCCAAGCCCAGTCCACATGTCCCTCGATGCTGCAGGGGCAGAAGCAGCACCAATTCCCAGGGCGACCATATGAGGAAGGCTTTTCACACAGTGTGAGCTGGTGCAGACCACCATCCCCACCCTGAGGTGAGGCCTGGAGGACACCAGGCAGCCTGAAGGAAGACCTTCTTTGACTCCTAGATTCCTCAACCTTATCAAGGAAAATTAACCCTTTTAAGTAGTAATCCACGAGCAACCTGCTGAAATTCAACCTCTCCCAGCCTTTGTTGCTGAGGCAGCCATGAATCTGTTCCCTTGGGCTCTCGGGAGATGGGCCATGGCAGTCAAGAGTGCTACTCAAAGGTCTGGCCTTGGGATCCAGCAATAAGGGACTCATACACCTTCCCCGAGTGGCGAAAGCCTGGCTATCTTAACCTCCCAGGCCTAGGTCACTTCTCATCCTTTCCAGGGCTGCGCTGAGGGTCTCATTTCTCTTGCCTGCTCAGGTCAGCTATCACCTCACCTGGGGAGCTGCTGGTCCCACTCTGTGTGATCCTGGGCTGGGTGGAAGCTGATTAACAAGGGTAACAAGGATGAGGAGAGAGAAAGGATGAGGCTCTTGCCCTGACCATGTACTGGTAGCTATGTTAGGACAGCTCAGGCACACAGCCACACCATGGCTGCCTCGACTGCCTTACTTTGATGTATAAGCTTCTGAGGGCCAGAGATGGTGGGCAAGGTGAAAAAGGAGAAGAGGCCTGCCTACGTGCAGCAGAGCGCAGTGCAACTCCAGAGGGCATGGTACACTGTATTCTCTGCAAAGGGTGTGCCCTGAAACTGTGCAACAGCCCCTGCTCACTGTAACTAGAATTTCTACCTCCTGACGGATCTCTCAGAGTTGTCTAAGACTGGACAAGTGAAAGTGTTTTTTCTGCATCAGGTGGTAATGACAAAGGTAAATATCCAAGGAAAAGACAGAAAATGCCCTCTAGGCAAGGATCACCAGGCCCAAGATGGGCTGTGGCAACACTGGGGTCTAGAGAGACAGGGAAATACAATAGTAGTAGAGCTCTGATCACTAAACATCTGCTCTACATTTCAAATCCATTTTCAAAGGCTCCATTAGGAGTTTTACCTTCTTTTAACCCCTCTGGTCATTAAAACAAGGCACCCTTTAGCGGAGGAAATCATTACTTTCTCCTTTTTTTGCTTTCTGCCTAAATACATACAGAACCAAACTTGTATCAACACTGACCCCTTGGGTGAGGGGTGGGTGGGAGCTCTATGCTTCCTGCCAAACTTCAACCTTCTTTTTGTCCAGGAGGGAGGAGACAGGGGGCTGACCCCCTGGGAAGACCCTGCCACACAGTTAGGCATGCTCCTATCCCAGTGGGTGAGACTTTTCTGCCTTAAAAATGGAGAAATAGAGTCAGGACACAAAAGCCTCTTTCTAAGAGCACGTCTGGAGGGCTGTTTCTGGTCTGCTCTGAGATTACATCTGTGAGGCAGAGTCTGGTTCTCCATACAGCCTCCTGCAGGCTGTCTTTCCCTAAAGGCAAGAACCCACACCTGGACTGACAGGAGGGAAAGGCAAATTACAGAGATGAGTTCAAGCAGCATTCTCCAAACAAAGTAAGGGTTTGGGAGCAGATAACTTCGGGAGTTATCAGGCATGTCTTAGTAAGCTTGGATCTCCATTGATGCTTTGTTTATAAGTGACCAAAACTCAAAGGAGGAAGGGAAGTTACTGGCAACCCAAGCTTCTAAGCATGAAGTTCTTTTAAAAACGGGATTCACGTGAAACTCCCTTATTTTCTAGAACAACCAAAACTCAGCTCTACTAGTAACATCTGCATCTATTAAAAAACAAGTTTCAAGTTTCAAATGATGGAAAAAGAGTATACTGTATATATGAGAAGTTTTTTTTTTAGCACCTTAAAACTGATGAAGCTGCTTCTTAAGATTTTCAAACTGAGACATGGTGGTCTAGAACTGTGTATCTTTACATACACTGCAGATTGTTAGGCTAATGTCCCATCTATTTTTAAAGATAATCTATGCTTGGGAGCCCTTTTTAATTTCACTCCACTAGGCAACCTGAGGTTTACAATCTGTGTAACTTCAAAGCGGCCGCTGGCCCTGCTGCCCCCAGGTGTGTTGCTCTTACTTTGGTTCACAGCAGGTACATGTAATTAAGAGCTCACATTAGAAGTACCTTACGGTTGCCCTAAGAACCCTCCCACCATTAGGTAAAGGCAACCTCTAGTGTCTAAAAATCATCCAGATTACATTTTCCTTTCAAATTGAAGGATTAAACAAACTGAAAATATGATGGAATTAAGATGCAAGTTGATGGAACAAGACATGGCTGTGTGATTAGCGTTATATTTCTTACTAAAATGACACGTTGCCTTGAGCTCTTAAAACTCTGGGAGAAAAATGAAGTGAATTTTATAGGAAAAAACTTGAGTCAGTAACAGAAATTGTTACGATAGACAGATAACACTGACAAAAACTCCAAATCCTTCTAAGTGGGGCAGGTCCTCCCCTGTGCAGCTTGCCAACTCTTTCAGAATGCTTTCAACCTGGGGCTCCATCCTCATCTCTCACCTGTGGAATTGGCCCTGTCTGAAAGGGACATGGATGTGCCAATGGGCCATGGGCTGCCCGGGTGGTAGAGATGACTGCGAGCTGGAGAAGCGAGGCTGCTGGAGTGGAAATGATGGTGAGGGTTATCGAGGGAATGGATGGGATGGGCACTAATCACAGCTGTGAATGAACACAAGACAGAGAAATGCTTAACATGCTTGCACAGACACACATACATCACAGTTCAAGAGCAGTTACCCCGCACCCCCCGCCCATGCAGTACCACCATTCCCTGGTTTTCTGGTGGCAGCTTAGGCAATTAGCCACGGTTTGGACAATTAGCCATGGGTTCTACATTTGTCTTAAAAGAAAATCAACACACTCTTATGCATATGTCTCTATATATACACAGAAAGAAAAAAGCCTGAGAATTTTTACTAAAATGTTAACACATTATCTTGTAGGGAAGAGTGGTGAAGAATTTTTTTTTAAATTTCTTTTGGTTTATCTTTATTTTCCAATTCTACAGTAAACATGGATTACATGAGTTATTAAAAATACCTACTTAAATATGTCACAAAGTATAAACCCATAAGCCAACAAATGATGGTTTCGGTATCTATAATTTTTTTCTCCTGCTTATAAAGATAGAAGTCCCTTTTCCTTTGAGTATATTCCTAATTCATTCTGTCTTTTCTTACTTGCTGAGTGAAGCATGAAATAGGTATTTAGGCTGAATGAATAAGTGGCTGTTTAATCAGTTTTCATATCTTAAAAGGAATGCAAATGGAAATGAACTGTTAAGGTCCAATCTAGTACTAGAAGCATGAAAGACAGGCCTAGGGCACCATCTCTTCCTGCTTCTAGTCTGGGACCTTAGCCATATCTACTCACATTTTAAAATATAAATGGATTTTTTCTAAATTCCCTCTTTCCTTCCCACACTGGCTAAAGAATTCAATTTGCTGCATTTAGCAAATGAATCCACATTTTCACACAGATATTCCACATAAAACTTTCTATGAAGACAAAGTGCTTCTTTAATGAGCGCCCTTATCGATCCTAGAGATGGAAAAACAAAATCAGAAGCACAGCTGAGGTACAAACTTTTCTTAGGTACTCCCTTAGAGTAGCTGTGGAAGCAGAAAGCTTAACACCAAGATGGTGGTGGTGGTGGTGTGATTGCTAAGTCATATCTGACTCTTGGGACTCCATGGACTATAGCCCGCCATCAAGATAACCAGCTCTAGATTCCCGAAATAGGCAAACAGGTAGGGCTGATCAGAAACAAGTGGGGTCTTTCCTGCCCACCCCCCACTTCCCTTTAAGCAAGGACTTCAAAAACTTTGTGATAAAACTCAATTAGCCCTCCTTGGATTCTATTAAAATGTCAGGTCACCAAGAGTCTCCCTGATCTTTGGCGGAACTCAACACTACTCAGGTGAAGAAAATCCCAGGCAATACAATAGAGGTCCTTTGTTCGGCAGCATTCTCCTCACCACGTGCAAGCAAGCAGGTAGCACAACCAGCCAGGGACCCTGGAGCAGGGCCACCCCCTCCCCTCCTCCAGGCCCGGGAAACTAATCAGGGGCTTTCCCTGCTCTCAGGGACCTGAAAGTGAAGGCGGTCCCCGGGAATAAAATACAACATGGTAAAGCTGGCTGAGGAGAGGTCTCAGGGCAGCTGGGCAGTTAGCATCTCCTCCATGGGAAGACAGGAAGTTTTCAGAAGTGGGGTGTTTCAGAATCAGTGTTTCTCACAATTAAGGCTAGAGTGAGGGGGAAAGACTCCTGACTTTTACCCAGGAAGTGCAACTTGAAAGTGTTTTAGGTATACAGACTCTCACAAAAGTAAAACAAAGCTGATTTAAAAAAAAAAAAAAACTTTGTCAGTTTTTCCAAATTAAGTAAACAAAAAAATAAAAGAATATGACAGTGCCTGTCTGGAATATAGTTGGCAAGCATCAGCTATTAGTTGAATCAGAATCCACTGCTTCTGTGCAAGGCCTTCGATGGAACCTCATCCCACCACCACTAAGCCATTCCCAGCAGTGCTCAGACATTTACAGCCACGGTAGGTGGATGGGGGATGCAGCCTCCAATCTCAAGCCTGATCTCAAGTATATCTGGGCACTTGTATCAGATTCTTGAATTAAAGAATCCACTCACTCAGCTGCTGGGGCACAAATGAAATAACACTGTATATTTATACATACTCCTTCCCGCCACCAAAAAAAGAAAAGAAAAGAAAAGAAAAAAAAAACCAGGAATGCTGTCAACTAGTACAGCTTATCTTTTCTCTGTAACATATTTAAAAGTAACAAATCTAGGAATAGCGATAGTCAAACTTTACAAGTTTTAAAAATAAGCAAGTTCAGGCAAGAACTAAAGCCTTATATAAAACAATCAAGTAGTCAAGCTACTATCTTCTTATAAATCAAAAGTAACTGGAATGAACTAATCTACTCTTTCTGGAGGTTTCCCTGGTGGCTCAGATAGTAAAGATTCTGCCTGCAATGTGGGTGACCCGGGTTCGATCCCTGGGTTGGGAAGATCCCCTGGAGAAGGAAATGGCTAACCACTCCAGTATTCTTGCCTAGAAAATCCCATGGACACTAGAGTCCATGGGGTCGCAAAGAGTCGTACACGACTGAGTGACTAACACTTTCACTCTTTTTGGATATTTCTAAACCTGGGGACCTTGTCCAGGGCATGTCTGATGAGAGGAAAACCAGTTTTCCTTGCACACGTCCAAGTATAGGCCCCTCTTCTTATCATGGACCCTACGCAAAAAGTACTTTGTGCAGAAATGAACTTTTAGTAAATCAGTCTTTTATTCTTCCAAAGCGGATTCTCAGAATCGTGTGCGAGTGACAGCACGTGTTCCGACATGACACTCTCAGGGATCCCACTGGTTTCCATGTATACAGTGCCATCTGTGTTAGGATATCTGTGATTATTTAGAATCTCTGTCACTTGTGGACAGACATGGCTGACAGTTCTGAAATGGGGCATCTTTTAAGAAATGAATAAAAAAATCCCAAAGCTCATTTAGGCTAAATTGAAAAGTGATTCTTCAGGATTTAAATCTAGGTCTGACACTCAAATGGTAAAGAATCTGCCTGCAATGCAGGAGACCAGGGTTCAATCCCTGGTCAGGAAGGTCCTCTGGAGAAGGGAATGGCAATCCACTCCAGTATTCTTGCCTGGAGAATCCCATGGACAGAGAAGCCTGGTGGGCTACAGTCTGTGGGATTGCAGAGAGTAGGACACAACTGAGCAACTAACACAATGACTGACAGTATTAATGTCTGCTAACCTACTATTCAGCCCAGAGCAAATTTCAAGATTAAATAGTTTCTTAAACTTGGATTTGGTACTGGTAGGCAGGTGGCTGCTTATCTCTTTAGAATGGCTCAGAGGACCCTCCGCTGGAAGCCCCATTGTGCCAGTTCATCTGAAAGGCTTCCTCACCTTGAAAAGAGTAACAAGGGAGAAGAAACACTAGTGTACAAATGTAATTTGCTTGTCCCACTGTATTTTGGTTTTTAATCATGATAATATACTTGAGTTTCAAATACTACAGGAGGCTGGGCAACTTTTATGCTTATCAAAGTGAGGCACAGGTCAAATAAAGTTGAAAAATATTGCTATAAAAACAGAAACTCCATGCTGTCTACCTGAAACTCCTCTAAAATATAAAGTCTATTGGTTAAAAAAAAAACTCTGCAATGCCTATCAACACTGATCATGTATCGGGAAGCCTAAGGAACACTGTGACATCTGGCCATCCTTAGCCCCAGCCTAGAGCGATGCTGCCCCCCCATCTCTCCTGAGGAGACTTGATCTACTTTTAAAGAGACTGGTTACTTCCCTAATGCCTGGGGGACTTGTGGAAATTGGCCTTGTAGTTTATTTATACTGAAATTAAAGAAGCTACTAGTAAGAATAAATACTAATCACAAAATATGGCAAATGTTTGATTCTTCTTCTCTCAAGGTGCCAAAGCTTTGGTAGATTAATTTTTGCATTAGGATCAAGTGAAGTTAAAGAGATCATTTGTAGCTGTTCCCCAATATGACTGGATAATTGGCAGCACTTGGGAAAAGAGAAGCTTTTAACTTACGCTGGGGTGGCTGGGAGTCAAAGGGCATCATCATTTTTGGTCTCATTCCCCGCCTTCCTGCCAGTGTAGACATGCTGTCCTCTGATTCATGCCCTAGACATCAAATATGGAGGCTGGTTACAAACACGTGTCTAGGCCAGTGAGCAGCCTCAGCAGTAAAACATTTCAAGTGAAGGCAGATTCAGGACTCAAAGACAACACAGTAGGGACAAGGTGTTGCAGGAAGTGAAATAAAGAGGAAAATGACCATCATCACATTGCAGGAATCTCTGTTGAGTCAATGCAGTTGACATGATGCTGCCTATCATGTTTCAATGCAGGTCTGTGAGGAAGAGCAGGCAGACCAAGAAGATGCCAAACACGACAATGAGAGCTGGGCTCCAGGTGAAGGGATGGGATGAAATGTGCAGACATGTGCTAGGCTGTCTCAAAGCTTGAGCTGATGAAGTGCGATGAGAGACCTAAGAGAGCTAGAAGACTGTTTCACCTGGGTACAGAAGCTCTGTCTCTTTATAGGCTAGCTAGTCTTCATCAGAAGTTGCTGCAGTAACACATGTTTCTCTAAACCTAACTTCTTATAGGGATTACCAAATTAAGGCAACTTTACAAAATAGAAAATGGTTCAAACGAAAAAACCTGTACCTCTATATGAATTCCGCCTTTGATGGATATTGCTGTCCATGGAATTGTCAACTGGTGTGATATCTTGAGAATTACGAGGAATTGGTGTATCGGTCATGATGGGGTTTGGATCTGGAGACTTATCGATGGGTTTGAGCTCCAGTCTCTCGTGATGGATCCAGAGGTCTGGGGGTTTGACATCTTTGGAGTTCCCTTTATACTTGTGGGAGCCATTCACTGATTTGCAAGCAGCTCGTTTCCTAGGCACGAAATTAAGAGGATTTTAAAAAGTAACCTGTTAATATGATTGGTCAATAACAGTTTGAATGTTTAAAACAGTCCTTCTGAGAGATGCTTCAGGCAAAATGAGAAACTACAAACAAGAAAAACAGAGGCAAGAAGTTTTACCCTGGGGAGAATGATATGAAATGATGCTGGCATGATGGGCTGGGGTCAAATCATTAAGGAATTTTAGAGCCAAGACCAGAGTCTGAACTTGCCTCTGTGAGTAAAGAGAAATCCCTAAATGGTTTTAAGCAGGAGAGTAAGGAGATCAGTTTTGAGTTAAAAGTTTAAACCAACTGGGATGTGAAGAATGGATTGAGGAGTAGGGGACAAAACAAGGGGACCGTTAGGATGCAGCTGCCAACAACTGCAGCCTGACTGACAGTGGCCTGGGGCAGTGAGAATGGAGGGGAGAGGGAGATCTGGTGGTTATTAATAAACCAGAAATGACAAGCCTTGGTGAAAAAAATGGATGTGGGAAAAGACAGAAATAAAGACACAAGAGGAATAAAGGATATTGCCAAGGTCTCTGGCTTAAGCCATTTACTAACACTGGGGAGAAGTTGGTTTGACAGAAAGAATTATAAATTGTTTTGAACATATTAAGTGTCCATCTGAGACATTAAATATAAAACATAAAATAGGCAATTGGGTTTGAGACTGAAGCAAGCCTGAGACTCAGAAGAGAGAAGCCTTGGCTAGAGACAGAAAAATGGGAGTAGTTGAAATTCAGAAGTAAATGAAGCCACAGGAGCAGGTAACTCCAGGACCAGGCCCTGAGGAATGTTCATCTGATGGCAGAGTAGACTGGAGAAGCTGTGAAAAAGAACACACAATCATGGAATACAAGAGAAGAGAGTGTTTTAAGAAGGAAGGAGTAGTTGACTGTGTTGAGAGATCAAGATGAGGACTGAAAAATTTCCTTTGGCTTTTGCAACATGGAGGTCAGTAGTAACCTCAGCAAAAGCAACTTTGGTGAAGCAGTGGGGGCAGAATTTGGATTAGAAAGGACTGAAGCATGAGTGTGCAGCGAAAAAATGGACAGGTGAGTGGAGACAAGTATTCGAGAAACTTGTGGTGAAGGGAGCGACAGGGTTTCTTTGTGGTTGGTGGTAAGGACCATGCAGTAGAGGAAAGGTTATAATTGTTTCTTAGGATGGAAGAAGTCTGAGCACAGTCGAATGTGAGAGGGACGGAGCCAGTGGAGGGAGAGGTTAGCTGTACTGACAGAGGGGCAACACAAGGACAAGGTCTCTGAAAGCAGGAGGCACTGGGATACAGCAGGTAAACTGAGAAGAGGTTTCGGATGGGAGGAAGGGGGAGAAAACGACTGTTCCCAGCACGGAAGGGCTTTAGATCTAATGGTGGTACACTGAGGTAGGTGGTTCTCATCTGTTGAGTAACAGGGCTCTGGAGGGATGTGCTAAGAAACTCTGAGGGGCTAGAGTCTATAAACAGCTACAATTGAAATGGGAGATGCTTCAGATATGAGAGAAGATGAAAAGTACTAAGAAAAGCTCACATATTTTTCCACAGTCAATGGAACATTTGGAAAGTAGTTCACTGTGGGAGGAGGAGGGGGAAACTCTATGAAGACTTGATACAACTCTTTAAAACAAAGGGACCCGAACTGTAGGACCTGCAGATTCAAATACAGAGTACAGAACCTATGACAAACTAATTTTCCTGCCTCTTAATCTGAAGACTAAGTATTTTAGTAAAGATCTCAAGATCTTTATTGAAAACTAGATGTAAAATCAAGTTCATAAAGATAGATAAATGGGAAATGCTGAAAAAGAAGCTTGTAGAAAAGTTCTAGCATAGAAAAATATGATTTTAGTGGTTTTAGGGAAAAACAGTTTTCTACAATCAAAGGCAGGGGAAGCTGTAAGAGGCAGTGATCAAGAGGCAGTGATACAATGTAAACTGCTGAAAGCTATTTTACTTGGGCAAAAGAAAGATTAAAAACATCACATAACCTATAGAAAATGACAAAGTCATTACTACCAGCAGTTAGACTGTAGCTTGTACTTGACCTCTACACTGAAAACAAACAGATTTATTAAATACATGCATTCTTGCCTTGGGCAGACCAGTTGTGATCATAATCACAGACATGAATTTCTTTCTCTCTTTATGGAGCAATACCTCCATCTTATGACCTTTTAGGATACTGCATCTAAAGTTATTCTATTACCCATATTGTGTTTTTGCTCAAGAATCTCTTTTTTTTTTTCTTTATGGCACTGTCTTGCTGACCAGAGATAGGAATAGAATGTGACCTAGGGTCAAGGATTCCCTCAGCTTCAGGAGTGAAGGCTGTTATCAAGGACCACATAATGGTGATCACCTTGCTATCTGCTCTAAACAATTAGCCACATGCCTCAAAATCCCAGGTGAGTTCAGGGCTAGAAGCCACCTTACCTCTCTGCTAATATGATATGCTGATTATAAATAATCCTTTCTCATTCATTTAATCAATACATCTCCCCATCACACCTCCAACCAACTCTGCCTCCTGTGGTCCCAACCTCAACTGCTACTTTTGGTGAGTGAAAGTCACTCAGTCATGCCTGACTCTTTGCGACCCCATGGACTTATATAGTCCATGGAATTCTCCAGGCCAGGATACTGGAGTGGGTAGCCCTTCCCTTCTCCAGGGAATCTTCCTAACCCAGGGATCAAACCCACGTCTCCTGCATTGCAGGCGGATTCTTTACCAGCTGAGCCTTTGGTAGCACATCTTTAAAAACACTCTTAAACTTAGAACTAGAGGTCTATGGTATCCTTCCATCTCAGCTGGCATTTGTGCCATGAAATTCCGCAGACTCCTGTGTATCTGGTTCACTGAGAGCCCAGAGACAGACAGTCCTCCAAAGGGGCTCCCGACAAAGCTGTACATCATCTACTTTCCTCTCCCAGATTGATTCTGTGCACTTGGTCTTGTGACTTCAGAGGCTGAGTTAAATGAACTATATCTACTTGGTAACTCTGCCCTGGCTTCCAGTTCAGTGTGGCCAGGAGAAGGCACAGACAAGAGACTGGAGAGTGGGAGGTATTTTCTCTTCTGCCCCACCCCTGCTGGGCTAGAGGATGGCAGTAGTTACATTCCTACCACCATACATGGTTCCTGTTGCAAGTCCTCTCCTGCTGCTTCAGATCTCTGAAAACAGCTCTCTCTGCTTCAGAAAAAGCTCTCACCTTTCTAAGGATAACACTGGCCTGTCACTGTGGCTGGCCCTTGAACACTGCTGCCTAATGCTAACTTCACCCTGGATGCTGTAAATGGTCCCTTCACTAAAGCCCCCTTCACCCATCTTGAGAGCGCCCCTCTTCCCTGCCAGAACCCAGAAGGACATATATTTAACAAGAGGAATCATTCTGCATTTCCTTTAAAAATATTTAAAACGTTGCTTTTCATGTATTTCATATTTTAACTCTGTGTACAACTCCAGACACAGAGGTCACACAGAAGCAAAAGAATACATACAAAAAAGTATGGGCTACACGTGGGGCTCCTTACTTTTTCTGGTGAGAGGTAGTCCGCCGGGTGCAGAAAACAGCGATGATCACGACCACCACGATGGTGATGACGCCGACGGAAACGATGATGACCAGCAGCATGTTACTGTCTAGAGGAGAGGTGGGGCTTCCATGAGGGCTGTTACTGCCTGGGAAGGGAAAACGGTACACTTGTTAGTGTTGCAGAATTCTGAAGGCGCATACAAACAGGCTGCAGAACCTTCACGTGAGCATAGATAACTTCTGTGAGCTTCTTTATAAAAGTGGTCATCACTGCATTCTATAAAAATGCCTCATGGATACGGCCATCTCCTCTAGATGATGGAAGCTGAGTTTCTGCCCTGGGTGTACCTGGCACAAAGCTGGTGTTCAATAGAAGTTTCTCCGATTGTACTGAACACTAAGCTTGGACCAGTAAGGGAGTCTGTCCCCTGGTGTCTTATATATAAACTCATCTTACAAAGCACCATTTGTAAATCACTTTAAGTTTTCTGACTTTCAAAACTTTTAAAAAATGCACACTCACAGAAAACAAAAGTTTTTTTTCCCAACATATAGCATTGGGATGCGGTCAAAAAACTACTTGAATCATAAAGTCTGTTTTTATAAACACAGTCTGTGCAGAGTTAATTTTCTTGTTCAGTTTCAGGAAAACAAAGGTCTGTACATATGCATTAATTTGACAAATATTTACTGCGTGGTTACAATGTGCCAGGTATTGTTCTAGGTACCCAGGATGCAACAGTGAACAACAAAGGTGCGAATGCTAGGATAGGAGTGGGGGCAGACAATAAACAAATAAATTATTAGTTTATAGTAAGTGCCATGAAAATATAAAAGGAGGGGATATGGTACAGAATGACTGGATGGCGAGTTTATATTAAGTGGTTGGGAAAAGCTTCTCTGAGGAGATGGCATTTGGGCTGAGATTTGAATGATCCTACCATACAAAGACCCGAAGGAAGAACATTTCAGAGAAGGGGGAACAGCTAGTGGGAGGATCCTGAGACAGGAATGAACTTGGCACGTTCAAGGGAGATAAAGGCAGCCAGTGTTGCTGAAGCAAAGAGAGATATGCAAAGTTAGAGGGAATGATGTGAGCAGAAAAAAAGATGGATATGAGGCTGGAGAGATGTGCAGAGGCGAGATCATTTAGGACCTTGAGGAAACAGATCTTCTTCCTATTACTGTTGCTCCATGCTCATTGGGTGAGGTTCAGCTTTTTTTTTTTACAAGGCTGTTTGTAATCCTGCTCTATTCTTAGTCTTGCTCTTCCACTTCCTGAAACATTGTACTTTGCTTCCCACCTCATTACAAAAGTTATGCATGCTCATACTGTAAAATATGGGAAATCCTACAACACAGATTTAACCACCATAGATATCTGCCATCTTTTCTTCCAGCCACTCTCTCTTATTGCCCTAATAATCAAAGCTGTACAATAACAGGATGAGCTGCTTTGCTAAGTAATGAGTGTTTAGTCACCAGAAGTACTTATAAAGAGCCATCCTACATGTCTGGGATGCTATGGAAATTTCTACCAGGAACGTGTGGCCTGGGAACCAAATTAGGAAGGCTCCTAAAGTGATTTTTATATACAACCTGGTTTATAAACTCATGATCTAACTCAAACTACATTTACTGTGGGACTCCCATTAACAGTGGATTAGCTGACCTTCTGCTTCTTATTCTATGATTTTATAGGCTACATCCAAGCACAGTGCTGAAGCTGGGCTAATTTTGAAAGTTTAAGAGCTTATTCTTCTACATTTGGTTGAATCACTTCTATCTATTTCAGAGAAGGAGATCAGCAGACAGACAACTTAAACTGGATATAATGACCTTCAATAAAATAACATTTTTATATTTGGGAAAGACTATGGAACTGGGAGCCAATACAATAGACCAAATTAGGGCTCTCCATAAAACCATTATTAACAGTAGTACTGAGCTAGTAGGTGGGGCAAGGGGTAGAGCAGGCGCTGTGCATCAGAGGCAGGGAGCAGGGCTGTGGGAGGCAGTTCTTTCCTGCATTCCAGAGAGACAAATTCTCAATTAACTGCAAAGGACCTCTACCTTCTGAGTCAGCCAAAGGCTGTCTTCTGAACTAGAGTAACAGTGAGCTGCAAATGGGACCCTAGACCTTCCTCCTAGGGATATTAAGCCTCACTTGGGCTATTGCAGCAGCTTCCTAACCACTCTTTTTTGACTTTCTACTCTTGGCACCCAACTCATTCTCCACGTCATCAGGGTAACAGCAGATACTCAGTATGTGGGAAGTCACAGTTTACCAGTAGTATCAGACATCTCACATATGTTACTTACATGAGGAAGCTCACATTTCTTAGCATCAGCACCTGAGCTTTTGACAGGTCGGTTTTAACCTACCTTTTTTTTTTTTTTTTAACCTACCTTTTCTAACCTGAGCCTATCCTGTTTCTAGGCAGTGTGGTCCCTGGAGAAAGCAGGCTGTTTTAAAGTGTGTGTTTTTTTTTTTTTTAATTTGGACCATTTTTAAAGTCTTTATTGAACTTGTTACAATACTGTTTCTGTTTCATGCTTTGGTGTTTTTTTTTTTTTTTTTTTGGTTTTGAGGAATGTGGGATCTTAGTTCCCTGACCAGGAGTCAAAACTGCATCCCTGCATTGGAAGGTGCAGTCTTAACCACTGGACTGCCAAGGAAGTTCCAAGCAGGCTGTTTTAAATTGCCATGCTTCATACATGTTCTTATTGCATTGCATCCTAGAAATGTTTGACCCCCTCCTAGACATTCAGTAATTTTCTCTATGCCTTTTAAAATCTGGGTCAGAGATGTCTTCTAGAAAGCTTTCTCTTCTCTGTCAGATAGCTTGTTACATACTCCCCCTGCTTCTACAGTCTGTTATATAGCACCTAAACCTTTAGAAATATGTGTGAATAAATGAATGAATGCATAAACAAAAGAAAAGACAAAGAAGTAACTGCTTTTCTCACAGTCCGGTGGACAGCACATAAATGTAACATATGCCTTCCAGGAGGAGAAACTCATAAAGTCCTAGAAATCACAGCCTAAAAATTTCTTGAAGCAAGCAAGTTTGGCTCTCCAAAGAAGTGGCCGATTTCACTGAAGTCTGGGCAATACTTTTTATTTAAATTGATAGCTGGAGATTAAGAGACCATTTTATTTCCATAATTAGACCAGGAGTTTCTGGAGGACTAGAAACTCTTTTTCTTTTCTCTTCCATGTGTTTCTCATGAGGAGACAGTATGGTTCACTTCTAGGAACTACCTTTGCAGACATTTTACCATCCTGGATTCCCACATCTGATCTAGGAAGGCTGTGAGTGACAGCAGAAAAGGCACAATATGAAGTTGGAAGCCCCGGGTTTTGATTCTAGGGCTTCTATAATAAGTGGGTAGGTCCAGGCACATTACTTCTCCCCTGAGTCTCTTAATGTAAAACATGGGAATAATGATACCTGTTCTCCCTCCCTCACAATGTTATCACAATAAAATGATTTAACGTGCGAAAGTAACCTCCATATGGTGACGTTGTATAGAGAAGCAGGTGTCACCATTTAAGCAATTAGAAGGCACCAGCTCTTAGGATGGCTAGGAGAGAGGGAATAATTTTTTAGAATTCCCAAACTAAGAGCACCGCAATAAACAGTGTGGAGAGAAATGAATGATTCCAAAGCATCTCTCAGGCTCGTTTTAGATGATAGCTAATTCCACCAGAGGGTTTATTTTTTAAAGTAAGGTTCTAGTTATTTTGAAAATAGGCAGTGGGCAATGAGAAGACTGTTTAGAATCATTTTAAGTTTATACGCAGGGAAACAATTTTATTTTTGAATCTATAATAAATGGGTCTACAGTAATTTGGCAAACATTTGCCAGAAAATGCATAAAGCCAGCTCTATCGAATAAAAAGAAATAGGTAACAGGCTACAATTCACAGCACAGGAGCTGCAAGAAACATTTCAAGATTTCAAGCAGAACTGCACTGTGCCCACAGGAAGCCAAATAAAGCCAGAGGAAGGGCTTTACCGCTCATTGGAGGTTTGTAGTCGGATCCCAGGTCTGGCAGCCGGCTTCCTTTCCCTGCAGACCCCGAGGCTGAAGAAGAAGAAATCATGTCAGTAACAACCCACTCCATTGGTGTGACCAGTCTACTTCACAGCTAGTGAGTGTTTTCTATCAAAAAAAAAAAAAATGTATTTTCAGTCTACGCTGTCCATAAGAAAAGGAAGTAGCACGTACACACAACAGGGGAAAATACAGCCTATTTATGCAAAACAAACTAAGGTAGAGCTTTCTATGCAATGAGGCATCTGAAAGGCTGACACTCCTGTTCCATGGCTGTATCCAGGGTATAACAAGGCTGTCCCTTGCTGTTAAGGTTTCTCTAGCCCAAGAAACAGTTGCTGAAAAACTGCTCAGAGCACTTAGGGCAAAAGCAGCTTCTGGTGGAAAAGGAACCGAGGGGGCCATTAAAGAAACGGGTTCTTCCGAGGGACTGGCTTGATCTGGCTGAGCAGGTGTCAGTAGTGTTTGGATTCTTTTCTCAAAATAGGAAGCTGCCTTTCTAAATATAGAGTTACCTTAAGAGGGAGCAGGAAGGCAAGCAGAGGTTCAGATTAGGTTCTCAGTTTCTGCTCAGTCAACCTAAATACCCAGAGATTAAAAAACCAAAGTCTCCCCTCTGGTTGCTCACAAAGACACTGTCTCCTACTCCGTCATCATGGAACATAAGAAGTGAGGCTGCTGACCTTGAGCTTGGGACCACCTCATACGCTCGATTTCCCTGGTGGCTCAGATGGGAAAGCGCCTGCCTACAATGCGGGAGACCTGGTTCAATCCCTGGGTTGGGAAGATCTCCTGGAGAAGGAAATGGCAACCCACTCCAGTATTTTTGCCTGGAAAATCCCACGGAAGGAGGAACCTGGTAGGCTACAGTCCGTGGGGTCGCAAAGAATCGGACATGACTGAGCGACTTCACTCATATGCAGGCCTCAGAAAACACCTGGGCCTGGAAGGCAGTCTCAGACTTCTCTTGAAGAGGTCTGCAGGAAATGCAAGGTAAAGCTGATCCTTGATGATCCTTGGTTCATCCAGCTCAACAGACTGCTTGTGATGGCAAACCAGCACCATCAGGCACTAAATGTTGGACTTTGGGCAAGTTATTTAGCTACTATTTTGGGGTCTTGGTTTCCTCATTGTAAAGCAGTGATCATAATGGCACCTGCTTCACTAAAGGGTTGTGACGATTAATTAGAAATTTAATCCCATAAAATATTTTGAATAATGCCTGACACAAAGTAAATGTTTTATAAATATTAACTACTAAATAAATCTTTGGGGAAGAATCTCATCTTACACTCCGCAGGGAGCATGAAGCTTCAGAAAATGCTTATAAATTAAGAGTTATTTCTATGAATAAAGCTTGACTAGAAATGCATAAACAAGATGTGTTGCTATAAAACATTATAGATAATATCAAGTACTTCTATTAAATTATCAGCCTTGGAGGAAATGGAAGAAATTAAAGTCTGAAGGTTTCTATGTATAGTTCATTTAACAGAATAAATCTAGAAATGAAAAAAACAAAAAAATCTACTTTCTATGTTTCCAGAAGCTCAAAGTCCCCAAAGGTAACAGAAATTCCTGGGTATGTAAGGGGCGTAGTCTAGAATTTTTAACTCACAGTCCTCAAACCTTTGTCACTGTCCACACCTATCACTTAACTTCACTTCCATGGTCACCAATCCTCCCAAACAGCACACACCACGTGTCAAGATTCCACTTGTTCTTTTCACTATGATAAGCTGGCAGAGATGACACGACCCATGTAAGGCTCTTCATAGTTAAGGTACGTCTTTGTCAGGCAGCCCAAATTTAAGCCAAACTACTCAGAGTAACACATTATATAAATAATTACCAATGAACACTTTGCCAACAAACCAACTGGCTTAACTCCTATGTTTTCCTCCTATGTTTAATGTTTTCCTCTTACATTTAACTTACGAACAAGAAATCCAAGGATTAGCCAAATACCAAAATAAATATGGGCAAAGAATTGTAAATACCAAAGGGGTGGTATAGCTGAGAACTGCAGCCTGGCTCATGGGGTGAAGTGAGGGAAGAAAATAGCACATATATACTCTGTACACATTCAGTGTTGTTACTGTTCTATTCTCATGCTTAAGGCAAAGGTTCTACCATGATCAGGGTGCTTTATACACACACACACACACACACACACACACACAAACACACATGGGCATATTTGCAGTTTTCCCAACACAGAACAAAAGACTCATTGAATGCAAACACATTTCCAAATCCCCAAAACTTGAAACCTCAAACTCTGAATCTTCCTTGCCATTAACCAAGATCCAAAGACTTTGTATTTCTAAAAACTATTCTTAAAGAATAAAAAAAACCATCCAATTTATTTTAACTGCTCCTGCTATAGAAAACAGATAACCAACTTTAGCTGACTTCCCAGAGATGAAAATCACAAAGTACAGTTTAACTTTCCACCACAGCGACTGTAGTGAAGAGACTATGCTGACAGATAATTTCCAGAATGGTGACACTGAGGCCCATACTTCCTAAACTTCCATTGTACACTGTCTCTATCCTCTTATAAAATTAGCAAATATATTTAAGAAGTGGCAAAAGAGCCCTGAATTAAGCTTGCAACAAGAGAATGGAGAGCCGTAATTTTGTGAAAGATAATCATACAATTCAGGAGGGTACATTTGTATATTCTCTGTTGAGGGAGGAAAAAAGGGTATTCAATTGAATTTGATTAAACTTTTCATTTAGAGACATCAATAAAACTCTAGATGCTACAAATATGACAAATTGGTGTGCCTGTTCTCATTATGGCCCAAATCCCTATCTGTATCACAGAATTTTAGTATCTTAGCACCAAGGATACTCTGACTCACATTTAAGGACTATCTCCTCACATCTGTAGAAGTCCAACCCAGTTTTTTTCCCTGCCAGTCTGTTTAGCTCCTAAGTAGATTCTCCAGCTTTTCAGATACCCCAAGTGCCACAAATATGGACTCGACTCTACTTTGGCCAATAAATACGTGATTTTTAACACACAGTACTGATACTGATTTTCAGGAAAAAACAAAAACAACAAAAAGCTAGTAACAGGTCACAAAAGAGAGGAAAGGAAAGAGAGGCCAGCTACTCATTTACCTTGATCATTAGCCATTTTATCAGAGGAGTCCGCTAGCAGGCCAAGCACAGGGGAAGGAAAAAACAAGAGCAAGGATCACAAGCTTTGAAGACGGGACAGGCAGAATTCTTAAAGGAAAAAAATAAAACCCCAAAGACTTCCAAGCACCTTGAGTCTTCTTTTTCATGCTAACAGAAAAGAAATCCATACATGTTTTTCCACATTTCCACAGACTCAGCTCCCGACTTACTTTTACTTCCTAAGCTCACCTGGTTCAATATTTTACTGTCGCTTTCTTACCTACAGTCTTCTTTAGAGGGCCCCTTTTGTCTCTTTCTCTCTACAAAGGTCAGTGAACAAGACTTTCACATTAAGAGCCTGCATGTGTTGAAAGAGAATCATCCATCACAATAACACACTACTACTCTATCTGGGAACCAAGAGAATCCCATCTGATCTGACTGGTTTAGATCACAGCAGTTCATCTGCCTCGAGCAGCCTGGAGTCAGAGTTCCCCTGTCAATGATATGTTTAGGTCAGTAACCTAGGGAGCACTGATCTGGTGGTCTGGGGGTAGCATCATTTTTAGATAAATGCCCACATTGTGGCTCATAACCACATCATTAGGATTTCCTGTATCATCCACAGTCTCTACATGCTAAAGTGACATGTACACACATAATCCCACTCAAGAGACACACAATGGAACACTCTGTTTGGGGGCCTTTACCTTTGGGTGTTCTGAACTGGACAGCTTCAGACATGGGCCCCATGCCCTTTGAGTTCCGGGCTTGGATTTTGAAGTAGTATGGTGTGTCAAGTGTTAATTCTTGTATCTGGTGAGTCAGCCTGTTTCCCACAACAGGCTCAATAACCCAGTCATGTATCTCTGCATTCACATCCGTGCTGTAATATATGATGTAACCTATCCAAAGGAATTAATGGAAAGAGAAACCTTATTCCTGCTCTTTCTTTTGCAATAAGTCAATAAAAGATATATGTTACAGGACACACAAATAGAGAACTAGTTACAGATTAAATCAGCAATAGTAACATGTGTTTTAAATGCTACATTAAATATAATACAGAGAAAACCACAATTTTAACAGTGCCAGACTATAAATTATCTGTATCAGCTGAAGTAATAAAAGTAGTTAAGATAAAAATATAGGGTTAAATACTCTCAAAAGCTAGGAAATTATATAAGGAAAACATCCTAATCATCATTTCAACATTCTGTACTTCAAGGGTCTACTTCAATTAAGTTAATGCAGTTTTGAAAACCAGTAATGGCCTGACAGTGCTATTTGAACGCTCACCAATGTGATTTCCCAGGGGAAAAACTCCTAGGAGATGGGCAAACACCTTTGCTGCTGCTGCTGCTGCATCTCTTCAGTCCTGTCCGACTCTGTGCGACCCCAGAGATGGCACCCACCAGGTTCCCCCGTTCCTGGGATTCTCCAGGCAAGAACACTGGAGTGGGTTGCCATTTCCTTCTCCAAGCCACCTTTGCTAGATTCTCCCAAACTTGGGGTAGGTGACCTCACAGAGAAACATCACCTGATACATCCACCAGAGGGCACTCTATCTCCACAGTTGAGGAAGGAAGAACCACAACCACAAGACTACACAGTGCAAAAAGGCACTGACGGCATCATTACTGGTTTTTAAGGACAAAATATAATGCAATCCATGTCAAGTCATACTTAATTTTTTTAAGGAAGAGGCAAATTCTAAAACCTAAATTAAAAAAGACAGAAAGACTGGGGATTTCAGGAAAGGGATTCCTATTGAAAGCTGAAGTGGGACAATGCTCAGTTCAGTTCAGTTCAGTCACTCAGTCGTGTAAAACTCATTGTGACCCCATGGACTGCAGCACGCCACACCTCCTTGTCCATCACCAACTCCCAGAGCTTACTCAAACTCATGTCCACAGAGTCGGTGATGCCATCCAATCATCTCATCCTCTGTCGTCCCCTTCTCCTCCTGCCTTCAATCCTTCCCAGCAGTAGGGTCTTTTCAAATGAGTCAGTTCTTCGAATCAGGTAGCCAAAGTACTGGAGTTTCAGTTTCAGCATTAGTCCTTCCAATGAATATTCAGGACTGATCTCCTTTAGGATGGACTGATTGGATCTCCGTGCTGTCCAAGGGACTCTCAAGAGTCTTCTCTAACACCACAGTTCAAAAGCATCAATTCTTCGGCGCTCAGCTTTCTTTATAGTCCAACTCTCACATCCATGCCTGACTACTGGAAAAACCATAGCTTTGATTAGACAGACCTCTGTCGGCAAAGTAATGCCTCTGCTTTTTAATATGCTGTCTGGGTGGTCATAACTTTTCTTCCACGGAGCAAGTGTCTTTTAATTTCATGGCTGCAATCACCATCTGCAGTCATTTTGGAGCCCCCCCCCCCCAAAAAGTCTGTCACTGTTTCCTCTGTTTCCCCATCTATTTGCCATGAAGTGATGGGACTGGATGCCATGATCTTCGTTTTCTGAATGTTGAGTTTTAAGCCAACTTTTTCACTCTCCTCTTTCACTTTCATCAAGAGGCTCTTTAGTTCTTCTTCACTTTCTGCCATAAGGGTGGTGTCATCTGCATATCTGAGGTTATTGATATTTCTCACGGCAATGATTCCAGCTTGTGCTTCATCCAGCCCAGTGTTTCTCATGATGTACTCTGCATATAAGTTAAATAAGCAAGGTGACAATATACAGCCTTGACATACTCCTTTCCCGATTTGGAACCAGTCTGTTGTTCCATGTCTAGTTCTAACTGTTGCTTCCTGACCTGCATACAGATTTCTTAAGAGGCAGGTCAGGTGGTCTGGTATTCCCATCTCTTGAAGGATATTCCACAGTTTATTGTGATCCACACAGTCAAAGGCTTTGAGATAGTCAATAAAGCAGAAGTAGATGTTTTTCTGGAACTCTCTTTTTTGATGATCCAAAGGATGTTGGCAATTTGATCTCTGGTTCCTCTGCCTTTTCTAAATCCAGCTTGAATATCTGGAAGTTCACAGTTCACGTGCTGTTGAAGCCTGGCTTGGAGAATTTTGAGCATTACTTTACTAGTGTGTGAGATAGGTGCAATTGTGCAGTAGTTTGAACATTCTTTGGCATTACCTTTCTTTGGGATTGGAATGAAAACTGACCTTTTCCAGTCCTGTGGCCATTGCTGAGTTTTTCAAATTTGCTGGCATATTGAGTGCAGCACTTTCACAGCATCATCTTTTAGGATTTGAAATTTCTCAACTGGAATTCCATCACCTCCACTAGTTTTGTTCACAGTGATGCTTCCTAAGGCCCACTTGACTTCACATTCCAGGATGTCTGGCTCTAGGTGAGTGATCATGCCATCGTGATTATCTGGGTCATGAAGATCTTTTTTGTATAGTTCTGTGCATTCTTGCCACCTCTTCTTAATATCTTCTGCTTCTGTTAGGTCCATATCACTTCTGACCTTTATTGTGCCCATCTTTGCATGAAATGTTCCCTTGGTATCTCTAATTTTCTTGAAGAGATCTCTAGTCTTTTCCATTCTATTGTTTTCCTCTATTTCTTTGCATTGATCATTGAGGAAGGCTTTCTCATTTCTGCTTGCTATTCTTTGGAACTCTGCATTCAAATGGTATATCTTTCCTTTTCTCCTTTGCTTTTCACTTCTCTTCTTTTCACAGCTATTTGTAAGGCCTCCTCAGACAACCATTTTGCCTTTTTGCATTTCTTTTTCTTGGGGATGGTCTTGATCCCTGCCTCCTGTACAATGTCATGCACCTCTGTTCACATTTCTTCAGGCACTCTGTCTATCAGATTAGTCCCTTAAATGTATTTCTCACTTACACTGTATAATTGTAAAGGATCTGATTTAGGTAATACCTGAATGGTTCAGTGGTTTTCCCTACTTTCTTCAATTTAAGTCTGAATTTGGCAATAAGGAGTTCATGATCTGAGCCAGAGTCAGCTCCCAGTCTTGTTTTTGCTGACTGTATAGAGCTTCCCTGTCTTTGGCTGCAAAGAATATAATTAATCTGATTTCAGTATTGACCAGCTGGTGATGTCCATGTGTAGAGTCTTCCCTTGTGTTGTTGGAGGAGGGTGTTTGCTATGGCTAGTGCGTTCTCTTGGCAAAACTGTTAGCCTTTGCCCTGCTTCATTCTGTACTCCAAGGCCAAATTTGCCTGTTACTCCAGGTGTTTCTTGACTTCCTATATTTGCATTACAGTCCTCTATAATGAAAAGGACATCTTTTCTGGGTGTTAGTTCTAGAAGGTCTTGTAGGTCTTCATAGAACTGTTCAACTTCAGCTTCTTCAGCATTACTGGTCAGGGCACAGACCTTAATTCCTGTGATACTGAATGGTTTGCCTTGGAAACAAACAGAGATCATTCTGTCATTTTTGAGATTGCATCCAAGTACTGCATTTCAGACTCTCTTGTTGACTATGATGGCTACTCCATTTCTTCTAAGGGATTTTTGCCCACAGTAGTAGATATAATGGTCATCTGAATTAAATTCACCCATTCCAGTCCATTTTAGCTTGCTGATTCCTAAAATGTTGACATTCACTCTTGCCATCTCATGTTTGACCACTTCCAATTTGCCTTGATTCATGGACCTAACATTCCAGGTTCCTATGCAATATTGCTCTTTACAGCATCAGACTTTACTTCCATCACCAGTCACATCCACAACTGGGTGATATTTTTGATTTGGTTCTGTCTCTTCATTCTTTCCGGAGTTATTTCTCCACTGATCTCCAGTAGCATAGTGGGCACCTACCAACCTGGGGAGTTCATCTTTCAGAGTCCTATCTTTGTTTTTTCATACTATCCGTGGGGTTCTCAAGGCAAGAATACTAAGTAGTTTGCCATTCCCTTCTCTAGCAGACCACGTTTTGTCAGACAATGCTAAGAAATGCTTTTCAGTTTGCTTTGTTGTTCAGTCTCTCAGTTGTGTCTGACTCTTTGCAACCCCATGAACTACAGCACATCAGGTTTCCCAATCCTTCACTATCTCCCTGAGTTTGCTCAAACTCATGTCCATTGAGTTGGTGATGCCATCCAACCATCTCAATGCCATCTCAATGTTTCCCAGCATCAGGGTCTTTTCCAGTAAGTTAGCTCTTCACATCACGTGGCCAAAGTTTTGGAGCTTCAGCTTCAGCATCGATCCTTTCAATGAATATTCAGGGTTGATTTCCTTTAGGATTGGCTGGTTGATCTAGTTGCTGTCCAAGGGACTCTCAAGAGTCTTCTCCAACACCACTGTTCAAAAGCATGAATTCTTTGGCACTCAGCCTTCTTTATGGTCCAACTCTTACATTCATACATGACTGCTGGAAAAACCACAGCTATGACTATATGGACCTTTGTCAGCAAAGTGACAAAGGTCACTCTGCTTTTTAATATATTGTCTAGGTTTATTATAGCTTTTCTTCCAAGGAGCAAGCATCTTTTAATTTCATGGCTGCAGTCACCTTAGGCCACCTTTTCATACAAAGGAACTTCAGGAAGCGTACTCTGGCTCCACAGCATACATTATCTGGATCAGAGGCAGGTTTTTCTCTCTGATAAAGCTGAGGACGGCACAGTGCCTTCTACTCTGGAAGTCCAAGGGAAATTTCAAGGTCCTGTCAGAGGTCTAGGCCACCTCAGACTTTTAACTTTAGTTGTAAGAGCACAGGAAGCTGAAGTAGCAGTCCTGGGTGAAAAAGGAAACTATAAGCCTAATGGGTATTTTTGAGCTTCAGGGTAAAAGAGGTGAATTTATACTTATTGGGTATCACCCTGTAGAATTACGCAGGGTCTTCAACCCCAAGACCCTGGTCATCTAGTCAAAGACAGAGAAGAATAGCTCTCTCGAGGAAAATAAATAAGTCTGTATGTTCCACCATAACCAAAGGCTGTCTAGTGCAACCCACACCCATCAGAGTTTCATGAAATATGGGTCAGGACAACCAGCTGGTGACTCCTTTTTATGTCACTAAATAGCACCCCTTGCTTCAATTTCCAGGACCATCATGACACGTAGCACCCCAAAAAATGGCCAAGTCTTGAGACCCCCATTCCTCCCAAGAACAAGGCACTCTTCTAGAATGCAGCAACAGGGAACAGACACACACTCACAGGCATCTCTGGCCTCTTACCTGTAATCTTGCCATTGGCTTCAGAGGGAGGCTGCCAATTTACAATTATGGTCCTAGGTTTTCCCTCTTTACTCACAACTGTCACATCCTTGGGTGGAGAAGTAGGAACTACAAAAGAATAACACTTTCAGTAATTCCTGTTCATTTCAACTTAATTCACCATTTCCTCAACCCTCTCCATTTAGAAGGCACAATAAAGGGTACAGGCAAAAAAGATAAAGCCTCTTGGCTTCAAAGAACTCACTGTCTGTCTATAAACAGTCCCAAGAAAAAGAAGAATATGCAAAGTACCAAAGAGGGAATACCATTTTGAGAAGACAAAGAACAGGCATCCCAAATGGGGAGGTCAGGCAGGACGGGTTAGGGAAAATTAAAAGCCACCTGTAGTCCCTGCTTGATAGATCAGGAGACTGAAAATGAGAAAAGTTATGTAATGTGCCCAAGACTACGTTATCTCCCCTAATTTGGATTATTTTGTTAGAATATTTTTAAGTGTAAAGTAACTTTGTCTCTACCTATAGTTGGCTTTCCAAACCAAATAAGATGTTTGAAAAACCACCATTCCTCCAAAGAATAAATGATTTACAAATTAATGTTTTATTATGTTAAATTTGCACTGAAAAGATACTGTCAACTATTAAAGGTTATTGCTCTGAAATGTAAAGCTGTTCATGGAACAGAAAAGCCAATTAAATAAGAACTTCAGGGCATCTGTGTTTCCATGGTAATGGTGGTTTAGTTTCTAAGTCATGTCTGAACCTTGCGACCCCATGGACTGTAGCCCCACCGGGTTTCTCTGTCCATGGGGATTTCTCAGGCAAGAATACTTAAGTGGGTAGCCATTTCTTCCTCCAGGGTATCTTCCTGACCCAGAGATCAAACCCACATTTCCTGCATTGCAGAAGCCCCTTATGCGTCCATATTATGGCTGAAAACTTTTAATGTATTGATACTAGTTGGGAAATCAGCATATTAAGTATATCCTTACATTTACTCTTTTGCTAAAATACTAGAATTTTTCTGGTATGAAACGGAAGGAAGCCCAGTGAAATGTAAACTCCTAATGGAATATCACTTATTACCTAATGGGCTGGAATGAAAGCACAAAGGTATTTTTAAAACTGGCAAAGAAAGCAAACTCAAGTTCTATTTAAGTTTTTGTGCACTGAATTTCTTTCTCTCTGAATCTATCCCTTTTTTTTCTCTGTAGGAAATTCAACCAACTGTGCCAAAGATAAGACATCAGGGCCAAACCCAGTCTGGAGAGACTTTATAGTTCCATTTTTTTCATTATTTACATAAAGGAGAGAAAGAAACAGGAAGGTGGAATAGACAGAGCCTCCCAATGGTTACACACATCCCTAGGCCAGGGAAGTATAAGAGGCAGAAGGGCAGGCCTACAAGTGAGCAAAAAGCAAGCAAAACTTTCAAATTAGATGGCTTGCTTTCCCCTTAATTTACTTAGTTGAGTTTTTTCTTTCATGTTTACTTACAGACAAAAACCCTAAGAATACTCCACTGGGAGACTTTATAAGACACTAACCAGTTTGCAAGAAAGCTTCCAGGGCAGTTTAGGAGAGTGCTGGTAAAGTGCTGAGGCTCTAGCAAGCATGGTATCGGTAAAGGGCAGGCCACTTCATCTTTTCTATCTCAATTTTCCAGGAAGGCAAAGTTAAAAACCATAATTCCTTACATCTACACAGTGCTTTATTACTTACCATGTGCTTTATTTATTGGGTGATTTATTTTACCCTATCAAGTAGAAAAGACAGCAATTATCCCTCTTTTATAGATGGAAGAAATAGCTTCAGAGAGGCTGGATGACTTGCTTATATCGTCAGGAGACGGCTGACCTTGGAATTGAACTCATGCTTCATGATTCCTAAACTCTAGTACATTCTGCATTATTTCTTCCTGCTATTTGCTAATGTTCTTGAACAATGATGAAAAAACCAAAATTCTTCAGCTGAGAAAGCAAACACTGAACTCCACCTGTAGTTGCTCACTGTGTTCTATAAGTATGTCAATTCACACACTTAGTTCTTTCCTTGGGTAGTAAAGACAGGTGATAAGGCGCCTCCTGACTTGGGATGTGGTATAACATTAGCATGGGCTTTCCCTGGCTTTCACATCTAGTGAAGAGAAGAAAGGCCATGTGACAAAGTTCTGACAACACATACCTAATTCAAACGTAGTCCCGTGGGCTGTCATGCTCCATGTGCTTGACCTTCGACCTTTGGTCACCATCACAGAGAATTCATAGAGTGTATTTGGTTTTAAACCAGTCACCAAATAACTCAAAGTCGTTGCATTAGCATTCTGGAAACATATGAATCAAGAGCTTCAGAATCACAAAGTATGAATAATTAGCTTTTCTTACCCAGAGTGACTGTGCCAGTACCTTGTACTTGGTGTTTGCTGGGATGTTGGTTTTCCATCGGACTGTGTAGTACCGGGAGTCTGTAATCTTCTGGTGTTTGGGCAGGGAGTTGTCCGCCCAGGTAATCCTTATGGTGTCATGGCTCAGAATGGAAGCCTGAACTCCCACTGGTGGCATCATGGGAGTGGGATCTGGCACTGGAGTGTATGGAGCATTAATAACAAACAAATCAACTTCAGAAGTGTCTGAGGTAAAAAGTAATTAAAAATGGAAGTGGCATTTTAACATAAACAAAAATAAAAGGGAAATGCAGGGTAATATAATGGAATGAAAGGTGAGAAATGAAGAAAGAGAAAGAGAATCCAGAGTTAATATACAACCATCATTCATTTAAAAGATTATTTCCACTTGTGTTCTTTCAGGAAAAAATTGCAGGAAAGCATCTAGAGAAATAGTAATTAACCATTTTCTGCTACTGTAAACTGCATGTATATTGAATAGGTAAATAAAATTTGGTGATCCAGTGTTCCCCGGTGGCTCAGACGGTAAACCGCCTGCAATGTGGGAGACCTGGGTTCGATCCCTTCGTTGGGAGGATCCCCTGGAGGAGGGCATGACAACCCACTCTAGTATTCTTGCCTGGAGAATCCCCACTGTCAGAGGAGCCTGGCAGACTACAGCCCACCGGGTTGAAAAGAGATGGACACGACTTGAGTGACTAAGCACAGCACACAACATTCAAACTTGATTTCTCTTTGTCTTAAAGTTTTTTCTTTAAATAACTTGAAAATTCTACCTTCTATCCCAAAAGGATTATTAAAAGATGAAAACTGCTTTTAAAATCAAGGGTATTTTTCCCAAATAAGTAACACAAAGCTCATGATCTATTTTGGTATTTCAGTGAATGTGGTTGAATTTGGGGGATGTTGCTTATCACACTGGACATGTAGGGGCCTCTCCTCTAAAATCTGAATCGGAATATCAGCCAAAGGAAACGTAGTTTGGTCTTGAAACTGGGTGTATCTGAAACCCACACAGGGTCCAATTCAGATCTGCTGATGTCCAGGGTCTAAAAGCAGTACCACAACATGGCTTACATTCAAGTAAAGCAAAGGGAACTCAAGGGCATTACTCTTCATGAAGGAAAGGTAAGCTGACAACATGCGGGAGTATTTTATACTTTTTCCAGTAGACTCAGGGAACAACCCACTGATTAACTCCAATCAGTTATGGGAAATGCCCCAGCTATCAAGGATTTAAGTGACACAGCCTTTATGAACTTAAGAAATCAGGGCATTTATTTGATAGAAGGAAAAGTCTATACTCATGTGCTGTCCTGAACCATATGCAATCAGACATATTCTTTAAGTAGCACTGTCAAAACAAAGGCCCCAGTGAGCCCAAAGGCACCATGACATGGGGCAATATGAAAGCATCCGTCTGGGCTTTCCCAACGCTCGGTCAGTTATTTAAGTACATACACACTGATTTATCTTAAGTGAAGGTTTTAAAATGGGTTTCCCATTTTGCTATGGTGACTAGTCCTTCCTATAACCTAAAATCTGAGACAGCAGGGGCCTTATTTATGAATAATTGCCAAGCTAAAGCAATAATCTCCATTTGTGTATTTCCTACACAATGAAGACTAAAAATAACAGAAGAACAGCACACATTATAATCAAGGGCTCTGTTCAAAGATCAGGACACATACCAATTAGTTAGAGAAAATGCACCTCAGGTGCAAAAATCACTAAGACTGAGAGATTTTTTCTTATTGTAACAACTCTTAGAAAAGATAGCTAAGTAACATGACTTATAAACATTTCTTCCCATATATTTCTAGCCACACCCTATTTTTAAGTCACATAACAGAAAATAATTCCAAATTTGTTTTTTCCTATTACAGACTGATTTAAGAAAGTAGCAAACCCTTTATTTAAATATTCTCTTTTTCATCTTACGTTTTTTCTTTTCTGACATACCAAAGCTATTTTTAAAAGAACTTATAAATTGTAAGCACACAGGAACAGAAGACAGGACAGAACTATCAAATATGCAATAATGGTATTGATCTTGTTAAGTAAAAGCATAAAAAGGGGGGACAGAGATTATCTTTTTAAAACAAATAATTCCAGATCCATACTGTATACAAAGTATCCAGAATACATAGCAGGCAATACAGTCACAATTTTGTTTTGAGAAACAAAAGAGTATTACTGAAAGTGATAAATTCTTTGATTTCCAGTACCATTTAGAAAAATTTACAATTCTAATATATTCACTTCAGTAAATTTTCTCATTCAGATCTAGATCTAAATCATGTTTTACATATCTACAGAAACTTTACATTATTCTTTTAAAGATATTTTAATAGATAAATTACAAAGAAAAGTAATATTTGGTCTCTTTTGTAATAAATGTACAGTTTATCAAATGGATGGTACATATAGCTTTACACTCTCTATATAAATAAAACTTATAAAAAGCACATAGAAAAATACTTTCCTAACTGAGGTACTAATAAAGAAAATGTTGGATTTGTCAATCTAATACATTTATTCCATCAATAACTTATGTATTTTCTCAGAGATATGGAGATCCTTTAACTTTTTTCTCCTTTTAATTATAACTCACATGACCAAAAGATGAAAAATCACTTTTAATTCTCTCATGACTACGCTTTCTAGATCACAACATATTAAAAACATGTGCAACACATTTACATAGATTTGTTTACATGACAGGATTAGTATTTTCTAAAAAGCAAAGCAGGATTTAATGGAACTTCCCATGTTGAAAGCCCATTTACCTTCCTATGAGGCCTGACCCTAAATTGCCATGTCCTTTCCCTTCCACTGACACCCATGGAGCAGGCCTCATGCTAACATTCCACTTAGGCGGCTGGAAAAGATGCTGACAACCTGAGATGGACAGGATGCCTTACCTGTGTGAGGTCTGGTCACAGCACTCTCGTACAAGGGGATACCTTCACCTACGTTGTTAAACGCTTTCAGGGTAATCACATAATGAGAGCTGGGATCTGAAGGAAAGAAACAAGTGGAAACAGGTAAAAAACTCTCACTACAGAATTTTAAAAATTCACAGATGATTATGTACAGTATTAACTGTAATAAAAGCCAGGTCATACTTTAAAATTTTTTTATGTGGGATTATTCTGAGGGGTCGGGAGGAATGGAGATGGGAGCATACAGAGTATAGAAAAACTGGCTGGGATCGACTTTCTGTAGTCCCAGGAGCAAGGTAACTGTTCCTGAATCTTCTACTGGCTTCAACTCATCAGTGGTCTAGTGATGTTACTGTATAGTGAAGAGCTTGAATTAAAAAGAAAAAATAGGATTTCCATGTGTTGCAAGCCCATAGGTGCAGCTTGGAATTAAACAAACCCCATTCCTTCTCAGGAGGAGGCAGTAATTGGAACAGCCAAGCTAGAGAAGTAGGAGACAAACTGTTAACCCAGTTAATCGCTGAAGGTCCTTAACTCTCTGGAATGCCAACCTCATCTAGCTTTCATGCAGACTTCTTGGTTGGAGAAGACATGGCCCAGGATTTCAACTGGCTAAGAAGGTGATCATGTAAAATGCTGCTAGTTAGATTTGGTGAAAAAGAGGGGTAAATAAATAGTTGGAATAGCATTCATTCTCCTACTGGCTAAGGCAAATCAGGAAGATTCTGCTTTATCACATTCCTGATCCAGGCAAGGTTTAGTACAGGTACTTCAAGAATCTAGTTTCAGAAATGAAGACCTGGGTTCCACTGAAGTGTTGTAGGGTGGGGAGTTAACCCACACCACTCACATCTGCTGAAGTTGGGCAGTTTTTCAAGGTGGCCACACCTCAAGTGGCCTTAATTTCTTCAAAAGCTGCTTGGTGGCCCATTTTCCACATACCACTGAGCAATATATAAAGGCACCTGGTCTTCCAGTGTGAGAAAGAACTGACAACAAATGGAATAAATAAGACTGAGTACTTGACTGACAGGAAAATGTGTTGATTTGGACAACATGGTGGACGGTGATGCCATACACTGAGACTGGGGACAGAAGAATCACAATACACATTTTCCAGACTTGATCCTAGGCTCTCTTCTAGTCCTATTCTTCACTCTCTCCCAATGTGCTTCCATTCGTTTCCTTGGTTGGATCAGCATACATACGTGATCCAATGCAAATTAGTCCTGACTTTTCTTCTGAGCACCAGACCTCTTTGAAACTATCTGTTTGGTATCTCCATCTCTTGGATGTCTTATATCTGTCTTTTTCTCCCCTTCCTCCACCCCTTCAGATCTGCTCCATTTTTTACTAGAGTTCATAAATGGCATGATTATGCACACTGTTGCTCAAGTCAGAAACCTGGGAGTTGTTTCTCTCTCTCTCCTTCCCTACGTAAGTGATCAAGTCTTGTTGATGCTACCTACATGCCTCCCACCACTCCTCCTCATTCTCTGTGCTCACTTTTTACTGGCCATCTCTCAGCTCACCGAGCGGGGTGCACTCTCCTACTACTGGGTTGTAACCTGTGCAGACGTCCCCTATGCTGGGGACACATAGCACTCTTATTTACTCAGACACTGCCTATTCATCTGAAAGGGGCCATCCCAGACTGGATTACCTCTCTAAATACATAGCCAGTAGCACACCTCATTTCTCCTCCTCAGCACTCTAAACCATTTAAATTATTTAAAAATTATATTCTCTCTAATAATTGGGATCACATCTGCTGATTCTCTGCTCTATCTCTAGCACAGTGTCTGGGGTATTTGCTGATTGAGTGAAAGTTTGCAGAAGATACTAACTTTAATTTTGAATAAATGATGATAGACTATAAGATATTCTATCATGATTTATGATATTCCAGTACAGATACCCAGCAAGCAGATGTTTACATAGGTTTGAAGCTCAGGGGGGAGCTCTAGTTTTATTAATAAATGAATTTCTACATGTATTTCTCCACTCCACTGACTTCTCTTCTGTTCAACATTATATGTATCTTAAATCTATCTGATAATGCAGCAAGCTTATTTTACTGTATGCCAAATCAATTTTTTCTGCTACTTCTCACTGTGCACTTTCTTTATTACTAAAGTATGTCTACTGCCTTCAGCACATGCAGGGCTCCTCTCGTTTCCAGTCACTATTCTGACACAGTCTTTCAAGTGCAAGTCAAGCTTCTTCCCTGACTGCTCTACTGTGACCTTGCCACCTCTCCTCCTCCTCTGAACACACTTCTCTTCAATGCTTCTCACTGTTTTTCCTGTGTTTTACTTTTCTTCTCCTATTAGACTGAAAGAGGATTTTCATTTCAGTAGTTTGTAAAGGAAACAGTAGGAGTGGTGACCACAGAAGTATTTTTATCCTAGTCTATTCCTTTGCTCTCCTACAACTGCCTTGTAAGACTGTTCATGTGGGGAACACTTCCCAGGTTAGCTATGCTGTTTCTTCGTGAAAGGAAAAAGAAAAAGGCTACTCTGTTTTTGACTAAAGCATTAAATTGCTGCTTTTCTACCAGAAAAGATGACCCTAAGTCATCTTTATTGCTTATTCTTGTGCTTAGTCGCTCAGCTGTGTCCAACTCTTTGTGACCCCGTGGACTGTAGCCCACCAGACTCCTCTGTCCATGGGGATTCTCCCAGCAAGAATACTGCAGTGGGTAGTCATTTCCTTCTCCAGGGGATCTTCCCAACCCAGGGATCGAACCCAGGTCTCCTCTATTGCAAGCAGATTCTTTACTGTCTGAGCCCCAAGGGAAGCCCTAAGTAATTTACTAGACACTTAAAATTGTCCTTAGGAAAGACATTTACACATAAATTTTAATTTAAAAAGTTGGTAAGGAAAGATTCTAAATTAAAAGGCAAGTCTTTCAAAGAAAGATCTCAATAATGATATCTAATTTGGAAAAATATGCCTATCTAAATCAATTCATTTTCTATTATAAAATATCACTGTTTCTCAAAATGCTGGCTTTGTAACTCATCTTTGAGGTAATAATTTATACATAATACAATGTACCCATTTAAATGTGCCTTTTTAGCTCTGACAAATATATATACCTGTCTAAGAGTCTCCTACTTAGCACTAAACAACAGAAACAAATCCCGACCACAACACACATTCCCAACACTCTGAAGAGTTCTATGCCCAGTCAACTGCAGTCAGTTCCACCTCCTCACTTTCCAGTCACCCCACTCACCTTGCTGTGTCACCATAAATAAGAGCCACACATTCTGCAATTTCATAAAAATGTATTAACACAGTATGTATTCTCTTGTGATTTTGCTTCTTTTGCTCTGCATAATGTTTTGTGAGATTTGTTATGTTGTTGAGTGTACCTGTAATCTATTCCTTTTAATTGCTGACTAGCATTCCATTGTATGAATATAGTAAAATTCATCACTTGTTTACCCCCTTTAGATTATTATAGATAAATTATGAACATCTGTGTAGAAATCTCTTTGTGAACATATGCATCTTTATTTCTCTTGGTTAAGCAACTATGAGTGGGAACGTTGGATTGTATAGTCAACTTTTTCAGAAACCTCCAAACTGTTTTCTCGAGTGGTTGTACCATCAGAAGTGCCCACCAGCAAGTATGAGTTCCAGTTCTGCATCCTTGCTGATATCTGGTATTATCAGTCTGTTAAATTTTAGCAATTTTAGAAGTTGTGTAGTCATATTTTATTGTGGCTTTATCTGCATTTCTCTGATAATTAATGAAGTTCAGAATCTTTTCATGTGCTTATTTTCCATTCATATATCATCTTCTTTGGTATACTATCCATCCAAATCTTTTTCCAACTTTTTCATTGGACTGTTATCTTCTGAGTTTTTAAAAAAACTTTTTAGAACATAGTCCAGACTCAAATTCTTTGTCTGATATTTGAATGATGAGTGTTTTCTCCTGGTCTGTGGTTCACCTTTTCATCTCACTGGTATCTTTCCAAGTAGAAGTTTTAAATTTTGATGAAGCCCAATTTATTCATTTTTCATTTTTAATTTGTACTTCTTTGCATCCTAAGAGACCCCTGTGTACCCCAAAGTCACATAGATTATTTTCTGTATTCTATTAGACAGCATATTAAAAAGCAGAGATACTACTTTGCTGACAAAGGTCCGTATAGTCAAAGCTATGGGTTTTCCAGTAGTCATGTATGGATGTGAGTGTTGGACCATAAAGAAGGCAGAATGCTGAAGAATTGATGCTTTTGAACTGTGGTGTTGGAGAAGACTCTTGAGAGTCCCTTGGACAGCAAGGAGATCAAACCAGCCAATCCTAAAGCAAATCAACCCTGAATATTCATTGGAAGGACTGATGCTGAAGCTGAAACTTCAGTACTTTGGCCACCTGATGTGAAGAGCTGACTCACTGGAAAAGACCCTGAAGCTGGGAGGGATTGGGGGCAGGAGGAGAAGGGGACAACAGACAACAAGATAGTTGGATGGCATCCTGACTCAATGGACATGAGTTTGAGCAAGCTCTGGGAGATGGTGATGGACAGGGAAGCCTGGCGTGCTGCAGTCCATGTGGTTGCAAAGAGTCAGACACAACCAAGTAACTGAAAACAACAATTAGAAGTTTTATAGTTTTAGTTATTTATTTAGGTCTGTTTTGTGTATGGTATAAGGGTCAATGAAGGTTCCTTTTCTTTCTCACAGAGTTATCCAATTATTCACACACCTTTTGTTGAAAAGACTATCTTCTTTTCCACTGAATTATCTCAATGTTTTTGTCAAAAATCAATTGAGCATATATCTATTTCTGAACTTCTGTTCCATTGATCTGTAACACCTAACCTTTACACCCATCCTACCACAATGTCTCAGTCACTGTAGCTTTATAATAAGCCCTGAAATCACATATTATGGGTCTTCTAAACTTTATTCTTTTAAAAAAATGTTTGCCTATACTAGTGCCTTCTCTTTTTTCATATAAACTTTATACAAGTTTATGAATGTCTAGGAAAAAAGTCTACTGGGATTTTACTTGAGATTGCATTGGAGAGGATTGTCATTATAACATACTGTCCTCTAATCCATGAACATGATATCTCCATTTATTCAAGTCTTAACTTTTCTCAGCAATCATTTCCCACTCTTCAGTATACAGATTTTCTACACACACACACACACACACACATAAATTGCTTACTGTTAGTATGTGGAAATACAACTGTTTCTGCATATTTACTTTATACCTTGTGCCCTTTTTAAACTCAGTTATAGTTTTAGTAGCATTTTTAATAGATTCCTCAGGATTTCTACCCCAGTAACAATGAGCATGAATAGTGCTCAAATACCGGTTTCCAAATATCATTTTCTATAAAAGAAACCAGGAGCAATGGCTGATTCAAGGGCAAAAGCTAGGAAAATACCAGATAAGCCTGAAACATATTACATTGAGTCAAAAAGGAAGAAAGTGCTCAAAGAAAGACAGGAGATGTCAAACGGACAGAAAAACTAGTTATAGAGAGATTCCCATTAGCCATTCCTTCAGTATGGAAGAGAAGCAAAGCTCTTCTTTATCAAAGAAAGGTAATAAATGCAGAAGAAATAATGGAATTAGAAAATCACCACTTGAGAAACACCATAATGATGATACTAGATGCTAAAACAGTATACTGAGTAAAAGTTTGACAAGAAACCAGATATTTACAAAGACTCAAGGCATTTCCCTACAAGGTACTTTTTAGCTATGAAGGAAAAAAAAATAACTTTATAGAGGAGGAATGTTGAAGATACCATTTTAACCAAGTAGTTAAAGTTAACATCACTAGCATTAGGCTCTCATCTGCCTCCTGGCAAGAACACATGTACCCTACAAGGTACTTTTTAGCTATGAAAGGGGAAAAAAAATAAGTTTATAGAGGAGGAATGTTGAAGATACCATTTTAACCAAGTGGTTAAAGCTAACGTCACTAGCATTAGGTTCTCATCTGCCTCCTGGCAAGAACACATGCATCTATGCTATTCCTTCCAAAAATAATGATGAAATATTACATAGGTCTAAATTAAGGGACATTCTATAAAGAATAAATGTACTTTTCACAAATGTCATGGTCATAAAAGAAAAAATCAAGGACTGTTCCATATGAAAGAATATTAAAGAAACACACTAACTAAATACATGTGATCCTCCACCAGAAAACAATGTTTTTCTTTCATTACAAAGGACATTGATGAGACAACTAACAAATTATAAATGACATCTACAGATACTGCCTCACAGTTAATTTGCTGATTTTGATAACTGCACTGTGATTATACTAGAAAATGCCCTCCTTTAAGGAAAGGGACATTAAAGCATTAGTGGGTGGAGGGACAACATTACTCTCAAATGGTTCTAAGAAAAAAACAAAACAAAACCAGGTACATGCAGCAGACAAAACGGGTTTCCCCAATGGCTCAGTGGTAAAGAGTATGCCTGCAAGGCAGGAGACTCAGGAGACACGGGTTCAATTCCAGGGTCAGGAAGATCCCCTGGAGAAGGAAATGGCAACCCAGTCCAGTAGTCTTTCCTGGAAAACCCCATGGACAGAGGAGCTACAGTGGGCTACAGTCCATGGGGTTGCAGAGATTCAGACACGACTGAGCACACACTGGGTACACAGCAGATACAGCACGTGTGATAAAATGTTAACCTCTGGGGAACCTGGGTGAAGAATAAAAATTGTACTATTTTTGAAAGCTTTCTATAAAAATAAAATATACAATAAAAAGTTAGAAACAAATCACACATGCAGTTACTTCCTTTAGTGAGCATACATACCCAGATTTTCGATGGTATAATAGCGCTGTTTATAGTCTACTTTTATGGTCTGGGCATGAGGGCTGCCAATGCCATAACCAATGGCATAACCTCTGACCACAATGTTTTGATTCTCTGGAGGTGTCCAGCTTACTACGATGCTAGTGACCAGGGGGCGGACGTGAAGAGAACTAGGCACTTCTGGAACACGAGTTTCTGGGAAGGAGAGAAGAAGAGCAAGATGAGATTCAGATCTACCTTCCTTTGTAACATTTCATTGTCCTTGGGGCAGGGTGTTTAGGTTTCTGCCAAATTATCTGGGGCTAAGTTTTTTTTTCCATTATGGCCAAGAATTTTCAAAGAGAATCTGTATGTATAGCGAAGTATGCCCACAGTTTAACTGCAGCGTAAGAAAACCAACTCAAACAACCTGAAACACAAGACACTGCAGTATTATTATAATTTGGAAGGAAAAACAAAGAGGTCCAAGAGCCTTCCCAATGGAGAAAAATAAACTGTCTTTCAATTGCTGCCACTCCTCTTGGTCCCATAGCTGATTACCACACTCTACCCGGTGGAATGAGACAGGCACAGCACACTAAATAGAAGACTGCTGTCAACAGGTGATCAAGTTTCACATGACAGTGATGATATCAGTTATCTACTCCTCAAACTAATATGGTAAGTCAGAAAATATGAAACTTAGAACCACAAATTGATTTAAATGGTGGGAGACTAAGAGGCTTTAAAAGGTAGCAATTTGCAGTATCGTTCACACACATTATCTCAAGGCATAAACTCCTATCTCTATTTAAAAATCAGTAAACAAAGAATTACATTAAGTACCCAGGTCTTCTGCCTTTTAAGTGCAGCACTTGGCTCTGATAAACGCAACATACACACCCTCATGTGGAGTCACTGAATAAACTGGTGAGAAAAAGGGTGAGGTTACTAGGACTGAGGGAAAAGGGAAACTGTAACTAAAACAGAGGCCAGTCTACAGGGTGCAGCCTTAACTTTGAGATCATCCACCTACTTCATGGCCTTGGTAAAAAAGCCAGACTTAAAGCACTTGCACATTTTTACTTGTTCTGGTTCTACTTACAGGGACAGTTCTCAAAAGGCCACTATAAAAAATACATTCTAGGAGACTTGCTATATTACGGGAATGACAGCAGTATAATCCACTAAAATCCAGATTTAAGCCACATACACCCCAAATCTATGCCTTATAGTTTGACTCATTTGACTTCAGTTAGTACCCAGACTGTTCCAATCCTGCTGATTGTTGCTCTTACCATCTAAGTCACTTTCAAAAGTTTCAGCTGACAGCCAGTCAGTAGCTGGGCCTGTACCATTGACTGTTAGAGCAGCCACTCGGAAATTATATTCGGTTCCCCGATCAAGACCTGCAATGCAAACAATTTAAAAAAGGGGATCAAACAAGAGCTTTGGAAAAACAAAAGATTAAAATCTCCCATTAAAGTAAGTATCTCACCCACCATCTTAGTACAAAGCTACTACCCTGGCGGCTCAGTCGGTAAACAATCTGCCAGGTATGCAGGAGACCCAGGGTAGATCCCTGGGTCAGGAAGACCCCCTGGAGAAGGGAATGGCTACCCACTCCAGTATTCTTTCCTGGAAAATCCCAGGGACAGAGGAACCTGTTGGCTACAGTCCATGGGGTCACAAGAGTCAGACATGACTTAGTGACTAAACTACCAACACCACTACCACCCCTATCCTGATAACATTTCAGTTAAAGTTAATACAGAACAAGCAATACATAAATACAGCACAGAGGAGCTTCTGTCTCTAGATAGGAAGCCCAACAATCCAAGAGGAAAACAAAATAAATAAAGCTCCCAGGAGACTTTAGATTTTTTAAAAGAGCTTGAAGACACCTTAGAAATGAGGACTTTCCAGGTGGTGCTAGGGTTAAACAACCCGCCAGCCAATGCAGGAGACATAAGAGATGCGAGTTCCATCCCCAGGTTGGGAAGATCTCCTGGAGAAGAGCATGGCAAAATGACTTCTCGGTGGATCGGACGGTAAAGAATCTGCCTGCAATCCAGGAGACCTGTGTTTAACCCCTGGGTAGGGAAGATTCCCTTCTTGCCTGGAGAATTCCATGGACAGAGGAGCTTGGCAGGCTACAGTTCCTGGGGTCACAAAGAGTCGCACACAACTGAGCGACTAATACTTTCACTTTGTTACTAAGGAGGCTGAGACCAAACACAGGCCAAAGGGATGAAAGAGTTACAACAAGGGAACAAAGTCAGTTGGTCTCAGAAGACACCAAAGACCAGAAAATCATGCAGAGGTGTAACTCCTACCACTTTACCTCTGATCTCTGGGTCACCCCATAACCACAAAAGAAACATTTTAAGTATCAAATATGGCCTAGAAATCTATTTCTCAACAACCTACTTGCTCATGAGTATATACAATAAATAAAAGAGGAATAAAGCCTTTTTACTATGCAGTCTTTCATATTTTTTACTATTAGCTAATGAAGTACGCGATATAAGAATGTATCAAAGGTAACAAAGATGTACATGTAAAAGTCTACAAAGTGGGGTAACAGTCAATTTTTTTCTTTTTGTGTTAAAATACATATAACATAAAATTTACCATCTAAGCCATTTTTGAGTGTACGGTTCACATTCATACATTTTTTGGAGCACGTTGATACCAGATGCTGTGAAAGGTCTTATAAAGGTTATGAAAAATTATCCTACACCTCCCATTATTCAAATAACAGGATCATTGGCCAGAAACTAGTACAAAAATTCCTAAGAGAGAGCTACTGAGAGAGAGGTTGGCCAGGATGCAGGATGAGCCCTGGCTCAGCTAAATCTGTCACATGGTGTAGAGGAGAGGTGGGCCTGCTCTCTGCATGCCCATCCTGATTGGTGTTCGTCCACAAGGAAGCAAACAGCAAGACAGGAAGAGAAACAGAACAGCTGGGCCCCAGTCAGTCTACCCCCCTCTCCTCCCTGCAAACACGGAAAGTGCCAGAGTGGGCCACACAGGCATCTGTAACCGTTAATCGACGACAGTCTGGACTGCTAGCAAACATGGTTCAGTTGGGGCTTGGGAAGAATTCAACCATCAGGTTATCATTCCCTCTCCTCTGAGGAACTGGAATGTAAGAGTGACGGCAAGTGGGAGCGAGTGCACACAAGTAGGTGAAGCGAGAGTAAGTACAGAGGCTGACCTCCTCTCCCTCAAGATGACCTACAGAGCTCGCAGGCTAAAACCAAGGCACTCGATTCATGTTACAGAGATACGGCAGAATGCTTTAAGTGCTGTAAGTAGTACAAGAAGAAACAACAATTACTGGCTAAACCTTAAAATCCTGTAATTTGTTGTTCAATACAGGATCTTGGGAACCTATACTATTCCTCTAATACTTATCTGCTTCAAGTTAACACTCAAGAGAATAACCACCTTCCCTTCTCAGGTTTGATCTCTGGGTTGGGAGGATCCCCTGGGGTAGGAAATGGCAACAGACTCCAGTACTCTTCCCTGGAAAATTCCATGGGCAGAGGAGCCTGGCAGGCTACAGTCCATGGGGCTGCCAAGAGTCAGACATGACTGACAGACTAAATGCACATACACCTTTTGCTCATCATTATACACCCAGCACTACTGCATGCCAATAAAAGTTCAATAAAGTCTATTAATGAATGAATCTAAATACAATTTTAAAATGCAAGAATTTTCTTGATTAACAAAAGGCTATTTTTTATTAAGAAAGTGGTATTTTGCTTATATATCAAATGTTTCACTGAGAAAATGGATAGTCTCTTCAGGGGAAGGACTGTATCTATTTTTATTTATTAGAATCAAGAACCATGCCTGGTATATAATAAGTATCTACTATTAAATATTCAAAATACAAGCTTCATCTTTGGAAAATGTTATTCATCTGTGTCTGGAGTATAATCAGACTGACTTTTAAAAACACCTATGACCAATTTTGCAGGAATGCTCCTTTGGTGAGATTTCTCAGCAACACTCCTGCAGTCACATTTATCTGCTGCAGCTTAGAGCTGTGGGGTCCAAGTGAGGAAATGAGAAAACTAAAAGATACCCTTGAAGACAAACATTCACCTTCTCCTATTTTGAAAGAAGTCAATCCCATCTGTGAGGTGAAGAGTATAGAGAAAACCTGCTGGTTTACCGGACTGTTTTTCACTGTCAATGGCTCTCTCAATTTTTTGAAACCCTATACCTATAAAGAAGGGAAGACCCATTATACTTTTTTGCCCCAGATCTTGGTTCTATCAAGAATCTGGCCCCTGGAGACACTGGAAAGTAGCCGATGTCAAGCTTCTCTAATCCTGTCATCTCTAGCCATGAGGGAAGCAATGCAAAGAAAGTTTAGAGTTCCCCAAGGGTGATGAAATTAATTCTCAAGGCTTAGATAATAATGCCAAGACTTCTAATTCTCAGGTCTCTTCTACCAGCTCTGCTAGGAAACCCCAAGAGTCTCTGAGGGGCATCTGTCTCTATTCTTTCTTCACACAATTCTAACATTTAAAGAACAGAAATTCTCTTCCAACGCTTCTCATGCAAAGCCAACTTGCTTTCACAAAGCCAACTCTACTTCCCCTACTTAAGAAAGGAGGAAGGGGATAACTCTGACTACTATACTAGTGATAGATTAGGGTCCATTTGATTTGTCTCACATAAAGGCAAAACCATACAAAAGAGCTATGCCTGACAGAATTTTCTAAAACTTTATCATATCTGTAGCAGCAAGAATGATTATTGCGTGGCTGTGGCCATTCACAAATGTTTCAGGTCACAGATACCCAGTGTTAGAAGAAATCATTTTGTAGGCCTCTGCTACCACCTAGATTGAGTAGATTCTTTGCTTATGTAGCTTTGTTTACATGGATAATACATTAAAATAATTTCACCACAGAACAGGCAGAACCTGTAAGAGTGTATTCTACAATTTTTATCAGGTCAGAAATTGACTGAACAAATTCTTTTAAACCATTTTTGATTTGTGTAAGTCAACAGTCAGGAGCAGTCATTAGACTAGTATTAATTCAAAGCTTGAGAAAGACACCATCTTCAAGCTTTCGCCTACAAGCAAAGCAGCTTACCTTCAATCAGCTGTGACAGCTGTGTCCCAGACACCAAGGTCTCAGTGACATCACTCTTCCGGGAAGCCTTTCGGTAGCGAACCTTGTAGCCAGTAATCTGTCCATTTTGTGCAGCTGGAGGAGGTGGCTGCCAGTGAATCACAATACTCTAGGAAACACAAGATTATAGGGAAAGACTATGTATCAAATCTTGGTCCTATTTTATGTATTATTACCCTGAATTCACTGTGTAAGAGAAGGAATACAAAGGCAACAGAGTGCTCAGAGTTTTATTACTAAGCAATTTGATAATCATTCAAAGATAGTTTTAAATTTTAAACCCCTCAAAGATGAAATGGGGAGATTGTATTTGTGGGCAGTGTACTCTGGCACCTGATCTATTTTGCTAGAATGAAGATACTGGGCAAAAGTCTCAGGAAAGTTTCTGAAGGAAAACAGGAGGCCAGAGGCATGTGGATGAGGAAGTAAATCGGTGTTAGGTTCTCTTCGACATCTACTGTAAGAAGAGTGAAATTAGATAATTTCTGTCTAAAACTTTTCAAAGAGGGGACTGTTAATTATCAGCTGACTGTTTCTTAAAAGAGGAGTCCCAGATTACTTTTTGGAAAGGACTGCCCGTCTCAGTTGTCAGTGCAGCCCAGGGGGAGCTCTGGGCATCTGAGAGGCACACATGGTCTTCAGGGCACAGTGAACTTGCCCAGGAGAGCTGGCTACAGCAATGCAACCATAGGATAGATGTCTGCCTTTGACTCACTCTGGGCTCACCTCACAGTACAAATGGCTCCGGTATGATAAACCGCATTACCAGGTTCCGGATGTTTAAGGTCTATAACGCCATGGTTCACATAATAATAGCAGTATACTTGCAGAAAGGCTAAAGTAATTTTGGCATTAGAGAAAGGCAGTAAAATTAAACAGAATAAACCAAAGTTGGCGTCTAAGTCCAGCTTTAAACTGGCAAGTGTAATATCTATGTCACTTTATTTCTCTGCTTGATTATGACTGTTTTGATAGAGAATCTCCCTCTTTATAAGCCCTCCTGAGGCCTAACAGGCTACCAGTAAAAATGAACAAAAGCAATATAAAGTTTTACCTTTGAATTTCTTACTTCTAAAGACAGATTCTGAGGAGCAGCACTGGGAACTGCACAGACCAAAAAAAAAAGAACAGAAAGGAAATGAAAAAAAAAAGCTTTAATTTCAATTACATCATGTGACTTGTTCTTGGCCAGACCTTACACAAATGCACATCTCAAACACTGACACGCAACCTGAAAGTCTAACCCAGGAGCCAGTGTCCTCATGTTGATGGTATTTGGATAAGGTTGACAGTATTTGGTTGGTTGATCAGTATTTGGATCAGGTGTGGCCATATATAAGTCATTTAAAATGAAACACATTCACATATACACATCCATACCCAAGTCAAGATATACCTTTGGGAAGTCAGATATTTATTTCAAGGATATGATGGTGACTAAACTTTTCCAGAGCCCAATTATATTCTGAACTTTTAATGTATCCTTCTGAATATTCTTGGGAATAGCATATCTTTATTTTGGGATGCATTTTCTGGAAATGAGCCTAATTAATACAGGAAGTGAATCAGCTGTGTAGTATCATTACAAGTCCAAAGTGTGAAGTACACAGATCAATGACCTTGGCTTTCTTGTGGGGTTCCTAAACTGGTTCTGAAGGCAGTTTCAAGGAGAGCAAAGAGTTGTTAGACAGTGGAAGTCCAGTCAACTAACCATTTGGCTTCTGAAGGCAACTATATAGCAGGAAATACTCATTCAGATGTGAGAGGTTTGGGACTATTAGTTACAAAACAGCTGTATAACTAGTTTCTCACATATTAGAACATAAGACAGGGTATCTCAAAGTTTATTGTACATATGCCCTCCAGTGTCTTCTTTTGTAGTAACTACACAAAGAAAAAAAAATTTAAGTAAACCTGATTAGTTTCTTCTCCAACCACAAAATGCTGACTTTAGCTTTTCTCTCCTAATCCATACATAGAAATTCCTCCCTTCCATTCTAACATTTGGTGACCAGACACATAACACAGTGCCCACTGCACTGTAGTCTTCTGGAGGATAGAGAGGATAGAGATTTCTCAACCTAGAGATTCAGAGGGTCTGGAGAAGGACTTCTCCATTTGTGTTCTGAAAAAAGTCCATGGATGGTTTCAGTCATCTCCTTTTTAAGAACCTCTGACTCAGCTGCAGAGGCACCAACATAATTGTTGTTGCTGTCTTCTTCTCTTTCATCATCACCACCACCATCACAGCTAAGATCTGTTTCATGCTCCTACATGGCAGGTAGTTTAATCCTTACAACAATCCTACAAAGGAGTTTCTATTATTATCTCACTATAAAGTGACAAAACTACAGCTGCAGCTCAGGGGAGTTAACTTGCTCAAGGTATTTGTTTCAACTGGTATAAGAACCAAGATTTCTCTTCCTCCGAAGTGCTGCCCTTAACCAACCACGCTGAGACACATTCAGTTCCTGCAACAGGCACTGTAGTCAGCATGCCAACCCACTTAATGCAGTAAAAGTGGCTCATGGGTAGATTTAAAAGCCTATGTTAAACACAGGCTAATCAAAATAGAGTCTGCATTTATTTTCTCCAGCTTTTTATCCTGAAAAATGTCAAGTGCAAAGAGAGGCAAGAAGAATACAATGAACACCATATACTCTTTTCCTGCATTCACCACTTGCTAATATTCTGCCATATCTGCTTTATTTCTCTCATTATATTTATACATATTTATCTATCTACATATTGTTTCTGGAGAGCTGAGAGACAGTTACAGTCATTATGATACTTCATCCCTAAATACTACAGTATGTATCTCCTAAGAAAACATTCTCCAACAAAATTGTAATACAATGATCACATTAAAATCTAATCAGCACAAAACTATTATCTAATATACCTAATAACATATCTAATTTTTAATACTGACTGATACTATACCAATCTAATTATTAAGTAATTGTACCAAGAGTGTTTTTATACTGTTTTTACTCCCAGATTCAGGAATCAAAGATTATACATGTTTTCTTTTATTCTATGTGTCTTTACTTTTCTTTAATCCTATAATGACTCCCCTTTTTCGTTTCTTTCATGAGACTAATATTTTCTAAGAATTCAAGCTAGTTTATTTTTTTGCAGAATGTCCACCAATTTGGATGTATGTCTAGTTGTTTCATCACGATCATACTTAAAACATTTTTGGCAGGGATATAGCACAGGTGAAATAGATGAAGTTATGTCTTTCTTGATGCAACATATCACATGATGTCAGTCTGCTCCAATGATGATGTGATGTCTGACCACTTGTTTAAAGGAGTCAAACTATAGCTCCTAAAACTTGTTTATACATTCAATGTAAGGGCTATAGACATATACACACATTTTTAAGAAAAAGTCATTTTTGAAACATTTGGATTTAGCTGAGTTTCAGGATACAATATATTCATTAAGTGCAATGAACTGTTATTTTCTGTTCTACTCTAAAAATATCTTTTTAAAAAATGTGGGTCTTGACCTACTCAGTTTCATTGGCAAGCTGTACTTTGAAAACGACTGCTTTAGGTCATGGGTCTAAGCAAATAACAGTGAGATATAAACTGTCACAAAATATTGAGGAGTTAAAAGACCTATTTAGCATGGAAATATAATTGCTATGTAAAGTAAGGCCAAGACTTGAATGATCTATTCTATGAACAAGCAATAATACTCATACAAAAAAATCTACTAAAAATAAAATACCAAGAAGCTATTTAAGTACCTGGTACTACATGTTCTATGACCTCTCAATGGATTTTTACAGCAACCCAATGAAGCTGGTATTATCTAAATTTCACATGTGAGGAAACATGCTCAGACATGTAAAGTGACTTGACTGAAGTCACACTACCAGCACTGGAACGTGAACCAAACCTCGGTATCAATGCCCATAATCTCGTTACTGTGCTACCAGGGCCCCCAAGCTCGGTATTCTGCTCCAGGGAAGAGAACTCACCATCTGAAAAAGTTCGAACAGCAACATCTTGCGTGGAGACTCCAGGGCCATGTTTATTGTAGGCCACCACTCGGAAACTATACTCTGTGTATTTTTTCAATCCGTTAATGGTGTGGGAGTGACTCGAAACATCAACATCCTTGAGTAAAATAAAACATATATATGTGTGTGTATATATATATATATATATACACACACACACACAACTCAAGCCAAAAGAAATGAAGCAAATAATTACACAAATTCTATATTTGACATAATGCAGATTTTTATTCCTCTTACAGAATGTTATTTCAATAGTCAAAGCAAATTTATCATAAACACTGGCAATTTGCTGAGAAATACTTCTTAATAATGTTTAGTGACCTTTGATGGCAAAAACTACAGAATGAACCTTGCTACTAAGAAACAGAATTTATCAACTCATCATTTCTTATACATATTTTTTCCTCAGATTTCTAGACAAGCAGGTATTGATATATTTCAACTCTACTACTCCAATCAATGCATTAAAAAAAGGCTTCATATTATACCTGTTCTTTATCAGTCCCTTTTTCCATGTAGTACAGTTTGTAATTCTGAATTTCCCCATTTCCAGACAACGGTGTTTCCCAGGTGACAGTGATGGAAGTAGGTGAAGTTGCATATGCTCGGATGTTAGGTGCTGGGCCAGGGAGCTGAACTAGAAAGAAGATTTCAAGATGGCAAGATATAAATAAAATTTATTGTACCCCTCAAGACCACTCTCAGCAATAATGGCACCCTGGCTATGTTTTCAAAACAATAAAACAATGAAACTAAGAAAACAAGTGATTTGACTCAAGAGGTTTCAGGATAATATCTAATTAAATGATTTCCCTCTTTATGACTCAAAAACCAAAAATTATCTGTGAAATATCTCAAATTTATTCAAAGAAAAAGGTGAACACTGAAGAATTCTTATGGTTTATAAAACCCTATTTTGTAGCAGGACTGCAGCACATAAAGGCAGACATCACAGAAAACAGCCTTCTCTTGACAGGCTATGGGGATACAATGAATGATGGACAGAGGCCCTGCCCACAGAGAACTCCAGTCTAGAGGGAAGTAAGACATATAGTTACAAAGAAGATCATAAGTGCTGGCAGATTAGGCAACAACTGTAATGAAAATGGAAAGAAGAGAGTACATAATTCTGCTCTGGGTAGGGTGGTTAGGAAAGGGAAGGACTGAAGTAGACTTTTAGGGAGCAGAAAGAATGAGCAGTTTTCTCAGACCATCAAGGGAGACACTGTTCTAGTCAATGGGGTGACAGGTGAGAAGACAGTGTTATATGTTTCAGGCCGAAACAGAATACAGGATACAGAATGCTACAAAGGATAACAAGAGCCAGAGAAGGCCCTGCTGTTGAGTCTGGATTATTTCTTGTAGGTGTTAGATAATTACTGAAAAATTATGAGCAGGTATATGACAAGACATGACCAGATTTGCCTTTTAGAATGAACATATGAACACATGGACAGAAGAAAAACAGCAAGGGACAAGACTAGATAAACACTCATTTTAAAAAGAGCTACCATTTATTGAATGTTTGCTATCAGTCCAGCATTAAGTGCTTTACATGTATTTAAATTATATTTTACTTAATCTTCATACAAACCCAAATGAGACAGATACTGTTATCATCCCTACTTATGGATGAGCCTGAGAAGTTAAGAACCATTCCCAAATGAAGGAAAAGTTGCTGAGTGGTGGAGCCAGGAACCAAGCCCTTCCTGGTTCTAAAATGTGGACTCAGGAGGATCAGGTAGGGAATTATGACAAGACCCTCTGAAGGATGATGTGACTGGAAGACCCCATGAGTGACTGACTGACTGTCTGCCCAGTTCACATCCTTTTTTACTATATTCTTTTTGTCTGACTGTCAGGTTCCAGTCCCAATTTATAAACAAACCCTGGGCAGCTGCCTGTGTCTACACTTTGGTGGACACTCTGCATCTGAAAATTATTTCTCTGGTACCAGTGCTTTTGTAACAGACATCCATTAGACTTAAGGAAAGGGGAAAAAAAACTAACAAAATGTAAAACAAACTGGCTTTCTTAAATAACAGCATGACAGCTTAAGATTAGTTTAGCTACCAAAGTAGAGAAACCTGAATATGGTTATTCTGACAGTTGTTTGCTTTATTTAGTCATGAATCATGTTATTCACTTAATGTTAAAAGCATATTTTGCACAGCCTGACAGGTGGGATTTGTTACACTTCTGCTGCTATGGAAAACTTTCCTCTAACTTTTTATAAGGGAAGGAAAACAGAACAAATTCCCTTGAAATCACTTTCAGTATATTTGCTGGTTAAATGTAGGCAAATTCAATCCTAAAAAAGGCGCTAATAAATTCTTTCGTCTGTACAGTGGCATTAAAACATGTGAAAATTTAAGTTGGTTTGAAAAGCTAAAAATGTAAAATATTTTCCAAGGGCTGACTCTAACACTTTGGCTTCCCCCACCCCAGGCTGAACACATCCAGATGAAATCTCTTTCCACTGACTTCTCTTTTGCCAAAACATGTTAATAGTCACTCTGCATCCCTAAAACAGTCTCCCTAGAAGCTGTTGCTCCTTCCATCTATATTCTTCAGTTCAGTCGCTCAGTCATGTAAAACTCTTTGTGATGCCACGGACTGCAGCAAGCTAGGCTTCCCTGTCCATCACCAACTCCCGGAGCTTACTCAAACTCATGCCCATTGGTGCTGCCAATCCAACCATCTCATCCTCTGTTGTCCCCTTCTCCTCTTGCCCTCAATCTTTCTCAGCATTAGGGTCTTTTCTAATAAGTTAGTTCTTTGCATCAGGTGGCCAAAGTATTGGAGTTTCAGCTTCAGCATCAGTTCTTCCAATGAATATTCAGGACTGATTTCCTTTACTTCTGACTGGTTTGATCTCCTTGCAGTTCAAGGGACTCTCAAGAGTCTTCTCCAACACCATAGTTCAAAAGCATCAATTCTTCCGCTCTCAGCTTTCTTCATGGTCCAACTCTCATATCTGTATACTTAGCTACTTTCTTTTAATCAAACTCCCTTGAATAAATGATCACAATACTGCCCATGTACCAATCCTTGTCAGTCCTTGTCTGGTACCACACTATTTTGTGAACAGAGGTCTTACTCATCTTTACTTCTTGCTGCCTACTACAGTGCCTGGCACATGATAGGCACTCTGTAAATCTCTTCTTTCATCTCTAACTTGACAATGCCCCCTTTAGTTCTGTAGTTCTCAGTAGTCTGACTTTAGGTTCTGAAGTGACCAAGAAAACCACAGGTTCTTTCCAAAGGCAAATGTGAATATGTACAGACACACAAATATTTTCATGCAGTTTCAGAAGTTTCACGGCCCCAGGATGGAACCCTTGCACTGAATCAAATTCAGTGGTCTCTTTCATTTTCATGACTCACCCTGCATGTACACTGTTAATCCTAGTTTTGGGATTGGGTCAAGCAGTTTCCTTCCCCAAGAATGTTTGCTCTAAGCCAAAGGCTTTAAGGCCAGCCTCAGCTTTCATGTTTTCCTAGGAACCTGACTTGATTTACCTAACTTTACAGTAACTGTTGCTTGTTCTGTATTTCATTATCTCTCATGAATGACACCTGTACGTGGGAATTAATGAAGGAAAATTGAGTCCGAAATCTAATAAATTGTTCCTGCTCTTATCTGAATACAGTAATTGTGAAACTCAACATCCTTTCCCTGTAGTGAGAACACATTCTTTCCTTAAGTCAACACCACCACCCCCCACCCAGCTCTCTCTTGTTGTTGCCTGGGTCTGATTCTTGACCTTTAATGCTCTGTTACAGAGATGATGAATGGCCTCCTATCTTGACTGCTCGTTCTTGAAGGGGAGGATTCCTGTCCTGTCCCTGCATCTCTGATAGCTTGTGCAGGGCCTGGTAGAGGAAGTCCTCAGTAGCTGTTTGATGTGTGAACAATTTGCTGCAGCATTAGAAAGTGAAATTTCACAGCTTCTTGACTTTACTTATTCTACCCATCAGGCAGAGTCCTTGAATTATTTCCATAGTTTCAGTGGTAAATACATTTAATCTGTTTAGTATCCTAGTTAGCAGCTTCCTCAAATTTATCGCCCATGCCCCCCTCAGCTACAGTAAAATTTTTGTTACTGCAAATTTGTTAACACAGAAACACTAGTGTAGTTAATAGGAAAAGAAAACTGGAGAAGGCTCCCAAGAAAAACAATGGCTTGTGTTAAAAGAAAGTACAGTGTAGAAGAAAGCTTCATGAGAAAAGCATTAATTCTAAATTTGACTGCTTCTTATAACTTCTGACCTACAGTTTAAAAAACAAAATTCAAGACATAGAAGACATTTATGAGGTAAATCACCTTGACACTAATTTCAGCTGGAAAAATCTTAAGAAATGTAACTGGAAGTATCATTATTTAGCACGAAAGACAACAGGTCAAGGTAAAGCCTTGAAGAGATTTCGAAGAGTATGGTATGTATAAAGACCACGGCAATTCCACTGATAATAACTATTAAATACCTACTTCCTATGTGAGGTACTGCATTAGACATGGTGGGAAATAAAAGGACAACAAATACTCTGTCTTTGCCATAAAATTAATGAGATATATTCATAACCATAATTCAAGGAAGATGTACAATAATACATCTTGCAACTTAAATAACACATAATGTAACTTAGGACTGCAGAAAACAATATTAGATAAGATCAGAGGAAGATTTTAGGATGGCATCTGAACTGGGTCCAAAGAATCAGTAAAATCTGGGTGTCTTCCCGCAGAATTATATTGTCATACACTATTTGCTGCTGTTTGATGCAATTAACTTGATCTCCTGTAACTAATTCACTAAGATCCCTAAAAGTGAGGCACTGTTATCTCCTGCACAACTATGGTATGCCAAGCTATACATAAGATAGCCCTTCATACAGGTCTTGCTACAGGTGGGGCTGACAGACAGGTGGGAGACTTACCCTCAGGTTGTGTTTCTACCCGTAGTGGAGCTGAACTCTCTCCAGAGCCATGCTTATTTTGAGCCATAACTCTAAAGATGTACACTGTGGCTGGCATTAGGTTTTGAATGGTCACCTGCATTTCTCCTGGGCGACTGGTATTCTCAACACGTTCCCTTTGGATAAACAGGGATTTGGAAAGAAATAACATTGATTATGGAAATTTCTAGAATGTGCAGTTTCATTTTCATTGCAGTATCTATAGACACCACACTACATCAAAATCTTAATAAATTTAAGTCAAATTAACTCTCAAAAAAGGAAGGTTTTGGGGGTGGAACGGTGCATGAATATGGACACTGGTTAAGAGCAATGTCACACATGTCTGAGAAGTTGCTGATGTTCTTGCTTAAACATCACTGATATCGTTGGTCATAATCACAACTTCCTTTCAAGACTCTTCTCAGTACCATCTCAAATGGGGTAGCTAGTCACCAATTTTGTACACTTTAAGAATCATTGATTTTTTTTTTAAAGGGGTTATGTTTAGGGAAATAAACAGAAGGTGATGATAGGTATGATCCAATTTTCACAGAAAATATCAAAGAATGTTGTGTATCTTTTGGATAATAATAAAAGGGAAATTAGAGATTATCACTTAAAACTGGGAACAAAACATTAAAAATTTAAATGACTCTAATCTATAAAATACAGAGAAGGCAATGGCACCCCACTCCAGTACTCTTGCATGGAAAATCCCATGGACGGAGGAGCCTGGTGGGCTGCAGTCCATGGGGTCGCGAAGAGTTGGACACAACTGAGCGACTTCACTTTCACTTTTTACTTTCATGCATTGGAGAAGGAAATGGCAACCCACTCCAGTGTTCTTGCCTGGAGAATTCCAGAGACAGGGGAGCCTGGTAGGCTGCCGTCTATGGGGTCGCACAGAGTTGGACACAACTGAAGCGACTTAGCAGCAGCAGCAGCAATCTGTAAAATAAGCTAATAACTACTCTGATTTTTACAATCTTATTTCTTACTTTTTAAAAAATTATTTTCAAACTGAACTGAAATAGTTAACAAATCTTATCACAAATGGTACAAATGGCTAGTGGTCTGGTGTTATGAGATGAAAACATAAAGGTAGTTAACAGGTTCTTTAAAACAGGTGGCTTCCAGGCTCTATTTTTGGGGTCTATGTGTCTACAATAATTATGCTCAGTGTACTGTACTCACTGTAACAAAGACTGTATTTGCTTTCAACGGATACTGTGAAAGAAAATACTTGTTTTAGACAAATAGCTGCCGTTTTTTTTTTTTGGTAAGAATTACTGATTATGTGAAGAAAGATCTGTGTCTATCTTGCTGCTGCTAAGTCGCTTCAGTTGTGTCTGATTCTGTGCGACCCCATAGACGGCAGCCTACCAGGCTCCCCTGTCATGGGATTCTCCAGGCAAGAACACTGGAATGGGTTGCCATTTCCTTCTCCAATGCATGAAAGTGAAAAGTGAAAGTGAAGTCGCCCAGTCATGTCCGACTCTTCGCAACCCCATGGACTGCAGCCTACCAGGCTCCCCTGTCCATGGGATTTTCCACGCAAGAGTACTGGAGTGGGATGCCATTGCCTTCTCTGGTGTCTATCTTAAGAGAGTAATAAAAGGGCCCAAAACTACTTTGTGGGAGAAATTATTTGAAATTACCTAAAAGTCTATTGAATTAAATTCTTACTTTAAAATATTGATAATTTCCCCTGAAATTTGTTTAAACAAATGGTTAAACAAACTGATTAAAATTTGTTAAGTTCTGCATAACCACAGGCCAATCTGTCTGATTGTAAGTGAATATCTGCATTTCAGAGATTCAAGTGTTTTTCAATAATTTTCTATGGTTCTTTGAACTACCTTATTTTAATTAAAACAAACAAATAGTACCCACCCACATCATATTTATAGAGGCTGCTTGCCTACTACAGTCAGGTCCACTGCAAAATATCATGGTAACGAAAGTTACCGCTCAGAGACTCTTCACATATCTATAGATATTTTCTCTTCAGCTAAACCTCTAAATCACAAGATTTAGGAGAGTATCAACTGATTTCCTGTGGTGTGAGGTTTTTGACATTTAATCCAATCACAAATGACTGCTGTCTAAAATGAAGTATGGTATGTGACACTTCACTAAACTAAAAGCTCAATGCCAGAGCACAGATTAGTTTGTTCTGCTAACTGTGCATCAAAGTTTAAATAAGACCTTTCTGAGAAAGACAGTGAAAGGGGCACTGTTTTACTTTAAACTGAAGTGAGATAGTGTTTCATTCACGTTCACAGACTACAGAAGCACTAGCAGAAGGTTCATACCCTGAGCAGCATCACAAGTGTATGTAGAATGAATGAATGGAAATTTGCCTTATAATATGTAAATTGTCTCCAGTAATGATATCATCTTTATCTTTTTGTTTGTGCCTATGTAAACAGGGGGCTTCCCTGGAGGCTCAGTGGTAAAGAATTCACCTATCAATGCAGGAAATGAGGGTTTGATCCCTGGGTTGGGAAGATCTTCCGGAGAAGGAAATGGCAACCCACTCCAGTATTCTCGTCTGGGAAATTCCATGGACAGAGGAGCCTGACGGACTGCAGTCCATTGGATCACAAAAGAGTTGAATACAAACAACTTAGCAGCTAAACAACAATAATGTAAAAGGGGGAAAAAACCTAGAACAAATTTCTACAGAAGCATTATGATAAGAAAAAAATCAATAGTAGGTATGATTCCCTAAGATGAAACATCTAACACTTGAAAAAACTTCTAACAGTAGACTGATCTGAGGTCACAGAACCAAGTCTGTCTGGAAATAAAACTTTGACTTCAGGGAAGATTTGGGGTGAGTTGTGAAGGACAATTTTCATAAATGTGTGAGGTTACAATGGGAGTTAAGTTAGAATGTCTTAGCTAAGAGTCAAAAGAGAAAGAAAAAGGTCCACTTTGTACCAAGACAGTGCTGGGTCAGAACTTAGTAGCTCCAATTCTAGTTCTGGCAACACTGCTGGCTTGCAAACTCACTCTTTCTGGGCTTCAGTTTCTTCATGTATTAAATGAAAGAATGAGCCCAGGGTGGTGAACTTCTTCTTAAAAGGCTTGACAGTAAGTATCTATAGGCCAAGACACAAAATGAAAAATATTACCGACCATCTCCAGAGTTAAGCTGGCCCTCCCTATCCACAGTTCTGTATCTGGAGATTCAACAACTGTGGATCCTGAAGTAGTGTACTACAAATTTACTGAGAAAAATCCACATGTAAGTGGAAAAGTGCAGTTCAAACCCATGTTGTTCAAGGGTCAACTGTAGTTATTTATATAACCTATTGAAGTGTAACCACTTGAAAAATGTAAAATTTATCCTTAGGTCTTGGGCCATAAAAACAAGTTTGATTTGGCCCAGGGTATATAGTTTGATTGATCCTGGAGCAGACTAACAGATATGTGAGGCTGCATGCTAAGTCGCTTCAGTCATGTCAGACTCTATGTGCCCTATGGACTGTGGCCCACCAGGCTCCTCTGTCCATGGGGATTCTCCCGACAAGAATACTGGACTGGGTTGCCCTGCCCTCCTCCAGGGGATCTTCCCGACCCAGGGATTGAACCTGCGTCTCTTATGTCTCCTGCACTGGCAGGTCAGTTCTTTACCACTAGCGCCACTTTGGGAAGCCCTTATCCAATTCTGAAAGTGAAAGTTGCTCAATCTTGTCCAACTCTTTGCAATGCCAAGAACTATACAGTCCATGGAATTCTCCAGGCCAGAATGCTGGAGTGGGTAGCCCTTCCTTTCTCCAGGGGATCTTCCCAACCCAGGGATTAAACCCAGGTCTTCCGTGTTGCAGGCAGATTCTTTACCAGCTGAGTCATGAGGGAAGCCCAATTCTAAGCACTATTAATTTCTGGAATAACTTACTCTGTACTTTCCACTTAGTGGCTAATAGAAAATACTGGTGTTGAATGGCATTGAAAACAAAAGGGAATATTTCACAGGTAAAATGGCAGAGGAAGGGCCCTTTGAAATTTCAAGAAGCTAGAGTACCCAACAGAATCATATAGCTCATTACCAAGGCACACAGTGCCCCCTCATGGTTGAATTATCAGATGCAAGAAGTAGGGGAATTTGTAAATGCAGGCAGTGGCATATATCCTCACATCGAAAGGTTGTTAAGTCTATGAAAATAATACATTATCTTCAATTTTTAGATGAGAAAATGTAAACTTATAAAGATTAAATAAATTTTGTTTATAAAACAAGTAATGGGAATCTAGTCTCCAACTCAGTGTTATTTCTATTCCTTCACTGCTTCTATTCAGAAATCATGATCTTAAAGTAATGAGATGGCAAAAATTATTACTACAGTCTCCAAGAATCTTCCTCTGAAATACTCCCCAGATTTACTGTTCCAAGCCACTGCTCTCATCTTCATCGGGGCCCACCACATGCTTGTGTGTGTGTTTACTTGCTCAGTTATCTAATTCTTCACGACCCCATGGACTGTAACCCACCAGGCTCCTCTGTCCGTGGAATTCTCCAGGCAGTAATACTAGGGTGGGTTGCCATTCCCTTTTCCAGGGGATCTTCCCAACCCAGGGATCGGATCTGGGTTTCATGCATTGTAGGCAGATTCTTTACTGACTTCCCACCAGGGAAGAGGCCCCACCACATGTTTAGATCAACCCAACTACTGCCGATGTGTCTCCCTGACTTCACCACTCTTCCTCTCTAACCTTGTGTAGAACCTGTCAAGAGCTGCTGATAAAAGCTCTTTAATAAAACCATGTACATGCTTGCTCAAGAGTCTGAAATGGTCCCTTCTTAATTGATCATGTCCAGATTCTTACTTGCATTTTAACACTTGGCTCCAAACTTCCTTCCACTTTATTATAATCTCTTACTAATTCTGATCAAAAACTCTAGGCCAGAGGTTTCTTACTTCTCCATCTTTTCAACAACAGACACAGAAATTGGATCCTCTTTCTTTATGTATATTGATACTTGCCTTGTCCTCCTGCTCCTGCCAATTGATAAAAATGGTTTCTATACTTTTTTCTAATATACTTAACAAGTTTTAAAAAATATGTTTTGATACATTTATAACATTGTCATACACATGACAGAGATATAACTTTTATTCCTTCTACTAAATGGGGGTTAATTATCAACATTATTTCTTGAATAATTATTATTTCTCCACTGTATAAAATTACTCACTTAACAAATATTTATTTAGTGCTACTGATAAGCCAGGCTCTGTTCTAGGTGATGGTGACACTCTACTGAACAAGACAAATGCAATGAATGTGTTAATAAAAAGAGAACATTTCTGAGTGTTAAGTGTTCTGGAAAAAAAAAAAGCTAAAAAACAAAACATGGTGGTATGTTACAGTGATGTTCCGGTAAATGTTTAACAACTGGCTCTGGTTTGTAGCCCGTGTCACTGTAAATACTCCCCCATGCCCAACTTCGAGCTACCAGGTCATGTCCTTGGATTTGCAAAATTTCCTGAAAATTTAACAACTGGCTTGGGAACAAGCCATCAAGTGACCCAGTGTGTGACAGTAACCAAGAGGCTATGTTGGGCGGGTAGTCATGGAAGACCCGAGAAGAGACCTGAGGATGATGGACAAGAAGCCAGACAGTTGTTTGCAAAGGAAACGCAGTCCTGCTAGAAGGAACAACAAGACCTTCTACTAGAAGCAAAGACCCTGTGATGCATGTAAGATTGCTTCTGAGGAATTACTAAAAGCTTCTGTCCTTCTGTGGAACCCCATGGACTTTGCAATGGGATTTGAAAGTCTACTGGAAACATTTCAAGACGGGTAGTAACATCTTGCCTTTCTGTGACTAGTAGTATGTTTCCTTATCTTTTAACTGCAAAACATCCACTGCAGTGTTCAGATGAACCTTCCATTACCCTGTGAGCAGTGCAATCCATCTGACTCAAATTATGTCACTCACTCAGATGTCTCAAGAGTCTTAAACCAAGGGGCATTGACTTGACTTAAAGTACCTATACCTTCTGCACTTGCCAGTTTGGTATTAAATACAATATATATCAAATGTAAGCACCCTAGTAGAAATACAAGCTTAACTGCCTTAACCCAACCAGGTATTTTAGCTTTCTTATTTTGGTGTGAAGTAACAGCACAACGAAGGGATCTACTTAGCAATGTTAAGAATACACAGTCAGCATGTGGCATGGGACCTCCCAAAGAGTGTGTAACTGATTGGGAAAACAACATAAACACACATAAAATAACAGAAGAGTAACAACTATGGCAGTATCAGATCATGTGTTATCATAACTAAGTGCCAGTATCAGTGGCACAAATATATACATATATATATATATATAAGAGAAAAGCTACATGTGCTGAAAAAGTAGAGGAAGATTTATGAGGGCTCCATTGGGCTTAATCTGAGCCAAGAAAGATTAACTGAATTTTACAGTGGTAGTTGAGAAACGGGAAAGAGGGAAGTGACCAAAGAGAAAATGGGGGAAAAAAGGCTGCAGGGTGACAGGAATGAGATTGGTTTCATTAGAAAGTAAGTTAACTAGGGTTAAAGGAAAATAAGGTTGGATAGATAAAATAAAGGTAGACTGTGTAGTGAAGTAGCCTGGTGATTCTGGAAAATTTCCAGAAGCAATGGAGAGGCAATGTGAGTTCCTGAAAGAAGTGCGGATGGAGAGGAATGTAATGAAAATATTGCTTTAGGAAAACAGGTAACTCAGTAATCTTGTGTCATTAAGCAGACCCCTTGAGCTCAGCAGCCCACACCTGCTTACGGGTGCAGGCAGATATAACTCCCTTAATTTCTAGAATCTGAAAGCTCTAAGTAAGACATAGCCTATAGGTTGTACTTGATGAATCATATTAAAAAGGGTATTCTTGGTTACATTTTAATATTTCTACTTAAATACCTTTATTTACCCTCTCCCCAAGTCATCCGAGAAAGACAGGAAAGAATACCAGGACCTTCGTCTGTTTAGGGATTTACTTTTCGTGACCTACAACTAGAGAAGACGTATCTCCGTGATCACATTTTCTGGACTGAAAGCTGGTACAGATTCTGCACAGCAGAGAGTCAGGGCAGGCACAACTGGTCTTGGGAGGACAAGATGCACCCACCCAGCTCTGGACACATAGGCACTTACCTCGCAATCCCCTCCTTGGTGTAGAAGACAGAGTAGGTAAGGTTGTCCCCATGAGGGTCTGACGCAGGTGTCCGCCATGTCAGTTTGATGAAGCGGGTAGAGACCAGGGAGGCCACGACATCCCGTGGAGCTGAAGGCAGTGGTCCAGTTGTGGCTGGTGCTAGATGGTCAGTAGTGGCACTGGTCAGTGAAGTGGGAGGTAATGTTGGGATGGCAACATCTTGTCATGTGCAAATATTGGGGAATATGAAGGGCAAACCACGACGGTTTTAAAAAAGAGAACAGAAAAAAAACAAAAAAGAAATAAACAAAACCACGATGGGAAATAAAATAAAATGAATGAACATAAAAAAGGCCATTAAACTGAAGGCTAACATGCAGGCCAGGGGTAACTATTGAAAACTAACGGGCACTAGTCAAGACACACCACTGCAGAGCAAGCAGACTTTCTGGTCACTATGATGGCTGTGGGTGAGGGACAAAGAGGGTGACAGCTGAGAACAGAACATCTCACAGAAGCACACATCAGTGACCAAGTCATTTTCTTTAGTTCTAAAAGCCGCATGCAACATCTGTCAAATTTTGCATGTTTAAGTCTTATATGTGATTAAAAAAACCTCAGTATTTTTTCCCACTGTATCAAATATTGAATCATGTGTGTAGTATGGCTGAGCCTAGTTACACTTACCTTGGGCCCCAGACTATCGTGACCTCACTGCAGAGCTGTACGTGCCTCTAGCTCTGCAGGAGTTCAAAAGTCACATCTTCAAGTGAAATCTAACATCAAAGTCTGCTCTCTGTGGTTGGCAATACCCAGGGAAGTTTGATAACCTTCCTCAATTCACTAAATTACAGTTCATTTGCCATCTTATCAATTCATTTAATTACAACAGTATAATATCATGAATCACAAATCTCAAAGCCACACAAATACAATACATATTGATTTGTGTTTACACAAAATACAAATTGTTGCATCTGTTTGGTACAGTCCTCACTACCAAGTAACAGATTACAACTGCTAGCAGACTTCAGGGACTCAATGGGACAGATGAAACAGTGGCAAATCAGAGCTCTGCTATTCAAATGCTTGTCTGTATGTCCCTTCTGTCGCAGGACACTTCTGATTTTAGAAGTCCATTCCTAATATACATCTAAAATATCCTTCACCTTGGAGTACACGTTTAATCTCATAATTTTAATTTTAATCTCACAATTTTCAAATGAAGGAATTAATTAGAAATGTGTCATAACTTTAACAGGGAAGTTAGAAGAAGGCGGCAGACAGGAAAATACGAAAATTCTGGACCTCATTTCAATGAGATAGTAGGAAAACAACCTCCTGAAAATGTCTGTGAACTATGAAAGAATCTTTTAAACTGAGGCAGTCTAAATGAATATGCCAGTGAGAATAAATACTCCAAGGAAAAGGACAGAGGAAGACCAATGTAAAATCTCCCTACAGCTACCATTTATTGAGCACTTTCTATATGGCACTCTGGCTCTTTGTATGAAAGTTAGTCAGTCAGTCATGTCTGACTCTTTGCCACCCCATGGACTGTATCCCTTCAAGCTCCTCTGTCCATGGAATTCTCCAGGTAAGAATACTGGAGTGGGTTGCCATTCCCTTCTCCAGAGGATCTTCCCCACCCAGAGATCGAACCCAGGTCTCCTACACTGCAGGTGGATTCTTTACTGTCTGAGCTATCAGGATTCTTTATGTGGACTCATTTAGTCTTTACAACTCTATGAAATTGGTACTATCATATCTCTGTATTATATATGGAGACTACATTTAAAAGGGCTAAAACACCCTTCCTAGGAATAGGAAGTGGTGGAGTGTTAAAATTAAAACCAACCATAGTTTTTAGCTTAAGAGACCTCTGGATTTAGTCAACAGGAGTTTTTAGCCCTGGTCATGCCATTCAGGGTAATGGCGGTGATCATGGGCTCCTGCTTCTTTTCGTCAGTTCCCCCCTGCCCCCAAATCCCATGGAGGCAATGCAAAGGCCCAGGACGAATGCCTGCATATGCACTAGGTATTACAAGAGAAAATCACTGCGCTTGTGAGATTTACCACTTTTATAGCAAGGGAAAGCAAACTCTAGACAAAGAATAGACCTGCTGTGATATCTAACACCTGCTGTGCTTTTTATGGTTGCGGTCTTTAAAAAGATACTGAAACTTGTTGTGTGTCCCAACATATGGATTATCCTGAAAACTGTCCCATATGTGCTCAAAAAGAATCTGTATCTGTAGTCATTGGGTGGAGAGTCTATAATGTTAGCTAGGCCAAGTTGACTGAGAGGATTGTTTAAGTCCTCTATATTCTTTTTAACTTTTTCTAATTGTTATCTGTTTTTGAGAGCAGGATATTGAAATCTCTCACTGTTATCACTGACTTACATATTTCTTTTTTGAAAATAACAACTACAAATGCATGTACATACAACAACAAAGCCCCCAAATATATGAATCCAAAGAAATCGGGGAAAATCTCAAATATTTGGAAATCAAGCAATCCATGAGTTAAAGAAGAAACCAAAAGAAATAAAAATTTTAACCCTTTTTAACTGAATGAAATGAAAATACAACATATTAAAAATGAAGACATGCAGTTGAAGCAGTGCTTAGAGGAAATTAAGATGTCTTTATCAGAAGAAAAGTCTCATGTGAATTATCTAAGTTTTCACCTTACTGAAAAGTGCAGATCTTAAACATTTTTACACCCAAAAACGTAACCATATGAGGTAAAGGATGTGTTAACTAACTTAACTGTTGGAATGTTTTCACAGTGTATGTGTATCAGACGATTATATTGCACACTTCAAATATATTACCATTTATTTGTTAACTGAAGTGAAGTGAAAATCACTCAGTCGTGTCCGACTCTTTGTGACCCCATGGACTGTTCATGGAATTCTCCAGGCCAGAATACTGGAGTGGGTAGCCTTTCTCTTCTCCAGGGGATCTTTCCAACCTAGGGATCGAACCCAGGTTTCCCACATTGCAGGTGGACTCTTTACCAGCTGAGCCACAAGGGAAGCCCAAGAATAATGGAGTGGGCAGCCTATTCCTTCTCCAGCGGATCTTCCCGACTTAGGAATCAAACTGGGTTCTCCTTCACTGCAGGCGGATTCTTTACCAACTGAGCTCTCAGGGAAGCCAATTTGTCAATTATACCTCGGTACAAGTGGAAAATTTTAATTTTATTCACATTCTTAAAAAATACGAGGCTAATAAATTAAGGGAAGATGTTGTTGTTGTTGTTCAGTTGTTTAGTGGTGTCTGACTCTTTGCACCCATAGACTGCAGCATGCCAGGCTTCCCTGTCCATCACCAGCCAGCTTTTACACTCTCCTCTTTCACCCTCATCAAGAGGCTTTTATTTCCTCTCCACTTTCTGCTGTAAGCGTGGTGTCATCTGCATGTCTTAAGGTTACTGATATTTTTCTCAGTAGTCTTGATACCAGCTTGTGATTCATCCAGCTCAGCATTTCACATAATATACTCTGCATATAAGTTAAATAAGTAGGGTGATAATAAATAGCCTTGATGTACTCCTTTCTCAATTTTGAACCAGTTTGTTATTCTAGGTCCGGTTCTAACTGCTGTTTCTTGACCTGCATACAGGCTTCTCAGGAGGCAGGTAAGGTGGTTTGGTATTCCCAACTCTTTAAGAAAATACCACAGTCTGTTGTGATCCACAGAGTCAAAAGCTTTAGCATAGTCAATGAAGCAGATGTTTTTCTGGAATTTCCTTGCTTTTTTAATGATAATCCAACGGATGCTGGCAGTTTGATCTCTGGTTCCTCTGCCTTTTCTAAATCTGGCCTGTATATCTAGAAGTTCTCAATTCACATACTGTTGAAGCTTAGCTTGAAGGATTTTGAGCATTACCTTGCTAGCATGTGAAATGAGTGCAACTCTGCGATAGTTTGAACATTCTTTGGCATTGCACTTCTTTGGGATTGGAATGAAGACTGATCTTTTCCAGTCCTGTGGTCACTGCTGAGTTTTCCAAATTTGTTGGCATACCGAGTGCATCACTTTAACAGCATAATCTTTTAGAATTTGAAATAGCTCAGCTGAAATGCTATCACCTCCACTAACTTTGTAGTAATGCTTCTTAAGACACACTGGCCTTACACTCCAGGATGTTTGGCTCTAGGTGAGTGACCACACCATCATGGTTGTCCAGGTCATTAAGACCTTTTTTGTACAGTTCTTCTGTGTATGCTTGCCACCTCTTCTTAGTATCGTCTGCTTCTGTTAGGTCCATACCATTTCTGTCCTTTATTGAGCCCATCCTACATGAAATGTACCCTTGGTATCTCTAATTTTCTTGAAGAGATCTCTAGTCTTTCCCATTCTATTATTTTCCTCTATTTCTTTGCATTGATCACTGAGGAAGGCTTTCTTATCTCTCCTTGCTATTCTTTGGAACTCTGCATTCAAATGGGTATATCCTTCCTTTTCTCCTTTGCCTTTAGCTTCTTCTTTTCTCAGCTATTTGTAAGGCCTCTTCAACCAGTTTTGCCTTCTTCTTGCATTTCTTTTCCTTGGGGATGATTTTGATCACTACCTCCTGTACAATGTCATGAACCTCTGTCCATAGTTCTTCAGGCACTCTGTCTACCAAATCTAATCCCTTAAATCTATTTGTCACTTCCACTGTATAATCGTGTTTAGGTCACACCTGATTGGTCTAGTGATTTTTCTCTACTTTTTTCAGTTTAAGTCTAAATTTTGCAACAAGGAGTTCATGATCTGAGCCACAGTCAGCTCCCGGTCTTGTTTTTGATGATTATACAGAGCTTCTCCATCTTTGGCTGCAGAGAATATAATCAACCTGATTTCGGTATTGATCATCTGGTCACGTCCATGTGTAGAGTCATCTTTTGTGTTATTGGAAGAGGGTTTGCTATGGCCAGTGCGTTCTCTTGGCAAAACTCTCCTGTTGGCCTTTGTCCTGCTTCATTTTGTACTCCAAGCCAAACTTGCATGTTACTCCAGGTATCTCCTGACTTCCTACTTTTTCATTCCAGTCCCTTATGATGAAAAGGACATCTTTTTTTTTGCTGTTAGTTTAGAAGATCTTGTAGGTCTTTGTAGAACCATTCAACTTGAGCTTCTTTGGCATTAGTGGTTGGGGCATAGACTTGGATTACTGTGATACTGAATGGTTTGCACTGGAAACGAACAGAGATCATTCTGTCG